CTGCCAGTCAGTGCAGAGAGTTTGGGGTGGGTAATTTGTGACTCTCCAGATGTTCTGGGACTCTAAATTCCATTAGCCTCAGTCACCATGGCCAAAGACTGAGGATGATGGGAGTTGGTAGTCCAACCACAGCTGGAGAGCCACAAGTTCCCCATACCTGGAGGAGTAGGTATTAATTGAAACCGATTACTAGACAGATTTATTTAAGGCAGCTTCCTCTGTTCCACTAGATTCCTGCTTCATTAACCACTGGATTTGTGGACATGCCAGCATCAACACGTAGCCCTTTGAAGAACTGGGCAGCCCTTGAAAATCCACAACTTCAGTAACACTATTCATGAGGTCCACCTTTTTCTGACTTTCTGTAGCACAGTTTCTCTTTTGCCCCAGAAGATTGGTTGTACTGCCTACTTATTGGTTGTATTTTTGTTTTAATTGACATTGGGGGTGTTTTGCTCATAGTGTACACAGCTTAGAGATTTTTAAACAATGAAGTGGTCTATAAATGCTTTGTGAAGAAATGAATGAATGCATAAAGAATGCAGAAGAATGAAGTGATAGGTATCACAACAATGTTTATTCTGTTTTCTCCTGCCTGGACATTTCTTGTACTACTTTTAAATGGAGTGAAATAGTTGTTAATTATTATGTATGTTTCATATGATTTTTATGGAAAGTATACATCAATATGCACGATTTAAAATAGTATATATAAGAATTCTAAACAAACAGACGGGGGTGGAAGTGGAGCCAATGTGTTTAACAAGATCTGGTCAGGCATGGGTGAAGCCTGATAGCATCTGGAAACAAGATGCTATTGACATTTCACACACTTTGCAATATATTTTTGCTGGTTGGGCTGTTAAAAACTGGTTGTTTGGTATCTCTTTCTTCTATGACTTTGGCTAAGCCAAGCTTCCCTAACCTGGTGCCCTCACAATGTTGCTGGATTGCAACTCCCATCACTCCTGAAAATATGGCCATGTTGGCTGAGATTGATGGGAGTCAAACATCTGGAGAGCATTAGGTTGGGCAAGGCAGGGCTAAGCCCTCTCTGGCATCTGCTTTCAGCATCAACACCATGGTTCTGCTCATCACACAAGTAAAGTGATGCCAGTTTGCAGCATTCTGAGGCTGCAGCTTTGACTCCCTCTATTTAAATGGGTCTTCATATTTACTATGTATATAAAAATCAGACATCAGAGAATTTTTATTAAAACTGTGATGACTACGAAATAGCCCAGGTTCACATCATCTCTCTTCCCCATGCTTTGTGTCAAAGCCAAAAAAGACAGCACAGTGCCTCTGAATACCCGTAAGGTTTATTAAAACATGTGCTTTTTCAGCCTTAAATTAAATTAAAAAGTATTTCAGCTCATACAGAAATAGCATCAAAGTGAGGAAATGAGAGGATTACAACGCAAAGAAATAACATAAAATAGTATGTACAAAGGAAAGAAGAATTCTTTTCTGTTAATAAAAAAGACATGGGTATCTTTCTTGGCAGGCCTTATATGGTATACCTTATATACTGGATAGAAAAGGAGAGATAAAGTAATAACTATTTAAAATAAATAACTTCAGAAAGTATGCTCTTGAGTAGGAGTCATAGATTCCACAAAATATAAATTAATTCCATATCCATTTGCATTTATTACACCAGGTGTGCTAAGAGGTAAAAGACTCGCTCAACAGGCTCCTTTACAATCTGGCTTTTAATTTACTTTTGTACATAGTTTTTTAGTTCATTGAATATATGCCAGCAAGAAACAACCCTTTGGAGAAATATTGACAAGCTGCATCCTTCAGATTGTCTGCATAGAAGTGTTATAGTGTGCGCTTCTCAATACAAAACTGGTTGGGGTTAGTTATTATGAAACATTACTCCACAGGGACACAGTAAAGCCCATATGTGCCAAGGCCCTAATTCAGCCTTGTATTAACAGAGAAAACAGCCACAAAGTGATATGCAAACTACAAGCTGGTACTTGGCTGTAAGCTGTCTGGAAATGAATGGAAGCTGCAATTATTCTACACAAAGATGGCCCCACACATAAACAAACAAGACAACCTCTCTGGTCCTTTTGCTGCTCACCTATTTGTATATCACAATTCTGTAAAATGGCAATGTGGTCATCTATCACTTGAGAACATGCTAGCTCCATGTCATGTGTAGAGATTGCTGTTCCAAGGTGTCCCAATCAAAAGAGGTCATGTTTTAATCTGGAAACCCTAACTGAAGCCCAAGAGAATTCTACAGGAAACAAACTCGGCCATCCCCAGTTATTAGGTCGTTATGGAACTGATCTACCTCGGCATCTAAAAAGAAACAGTGTCTTACTTCCTGTTTGAGAGAGATTTCAAATCGTTCAACCCACTTCAGGCATCAGTAAATGTGTGGCAGGAGCAAACACAATGAGCATGTTAGATCTGCGCTGCTTTGTCACCATTTTTGTTGCCTTCCAACTGTCTGAAGCATGGAGTCTTTTGTATTCATTGAGGCTCCAAACCTGTTTTAGAATCCTGATTTTGCAGAGTTCTAAAATGTTTGGATTGAAGAAATGGTGCGTGAAATAACTCATCCACACATCCTCTGGTCATGTGTTCACTGCTGTCATTGAAGAGAGCTTTCATTTAGCTACAAAACCCCATTCTTTTGCTAGGATATAGCATGAAAAAGAGGTACATAATGTGTATGACATGCTCTATATCAGTTTGATTTTTTTTTGGGGGGGATGCTTAAAAAAATATGAGAAGGACAAATTAGGGCTAAACTAGATGTGATGGGACAATTAAGTGATCACCCTGTTCACACGTGACATGGGTGTGCTGGGTAAAAGGAGTATGTGTGAAAGGGCTACCTAATCCTTTTCCATTCTGCGCCTTGATGCCCTGTAGCTGGCTGCTCTAGTGGATGGGAGACGGGAGTGGAGAACACTGATTGGAGCAATGGATAGAGGGAAAAGAAGGTATCGGTGGTGGGAGGGCTGGCTGTTCTTTTCCCATGTGTTCTTTTACTGTTAAAAGAAGACTTTCATCCTTCGCTTTGTATTTAAACAGGGCAGACACATGAAAAGAAATGTGTCAGCCAAGGTCAATTCTAGTTTGGCCCATAGAACTTGAAATGTGACAGAAACACCAATGTATGATACCTGAGGGACGGCAGTTTGAGACCTGCAGTGTTAACAAATATTAACAGAAACCAAAGTATAATTACCCCAGGTCTCCAGTTCTAATTTCAGCCTAGCCCTCATATTGTTCTGCCAGGTCCCCGTGAGCATCAGTTGTGCCAGGCCAATTACAAACCATGACACTGGGATATAGTTGGGATATAGAGATGTTTCTCATACATTGCAAAGCTGTGCAACCTGATTAGGATCAGGTTGTCACCCTTCCAGCTTCATGAACGGCTGAAAATACTTATCAGGAACAATGGGCCTAAATTGTCACCAATATCATTAACTGTTAGCTAGTTAAAAGGTGACATAGGCTTTCAGGTTTATTGAAATATCTCTATGTTGTTGTTTTTCAGTAATGGGAAATGATTCACTGCTGTAGTTTTGGATGTGGGAGATGAACCAGGTCAAAAGAGGGCCATGGTATTACTTGGTACCCAGTGTACCAAGTGTATTGTAAACCAGTCTCCATTTCAGGGCACATGGCAGAATAATAACACAGCTAGTGCTGATGGTCCCCCTCCCTTTTAGAGTCCCCAGACAGAGTACTTTTTCCCAATGGCTGATCACTGTATTTGGGATGAATCAAGCTCTCAGAAGGCCCTCAGACAGAAGAACTGCTGTGAGCAGGAGCAAGCCAGCATTGTCATATGTTACATTCTCAAGTGACCAATTAACTACTTTCCCTTCTTTGTTTGGGTGATTATTGAATGTTTACCCAGATGTTTTATGGCACAAGACACTGCCAGGAAAGGGCTTAAGGCTAGAGATGAGCCATTCTGAGCAGAGACAGGAGGCCGAGTGGGTTGGCTGAAGGTAGTGAGTGGTAACCTCATGACCCCTTGTGCTTAAGTGGGGGAGATGACAGAGAAAATGACTTAGTTTTCTCTCTTCCTACTGTTGACTCTTCCACTCAGCCCAGCTGTCACTGGGCTCTGGGTAGAGAAATCTGAGCTAATACAAGGTTTTACGGAGACAACAGGTGGGTTTGTTGGGGGTAGAGGGATAAGGCTTTGAAAAGCCTTTCGAACTATAATGAAGATACTTTATCTTAATTAGTTTGGATATTGGATCTTCTCTGAGAAAACATCTAGGTTTGGAGTCATATGTTTGGACAAGGCCTCACACCACTCTTCAGTAAATGCCTAATGACCCATTCCCAAGGGTGTGCTTTAGCTTCAGTAGATGAAACAGAGAACCGTTGTTACATCTTGGGAAATTATAATGCTGTATTTGGGCTAGAGAGAACCCTTCTCTTCCTGGTTGTGCTGGGCACTATCAGGGTACATGCCGGGAGTGGATGCTGTAGTGTCTTTATGAAGTCAGCTGGGGAAGAAAGGAGTGAAGAATTTTGTAAATCAAACAGTCCCCTCTCGAGCTGTTTACTGAATTCACATCATGAAACTCTCTCTCAAATTAAAAAAGTGAAATAAAAATGGATCCCACTCCAGACTCTTATGACATATCATTTTATAAGGCTGACATCTGAGTCTCATACAGCATGTCATGCCAGAGCAGTAGAACTAGGAAAATATCTTCCAAACCTGATTATTTTGGTCACCGACTAATGTGACCGACTAATGCCATTTTGTTAAAAATCTGGGCACAGAACCCAGAATTAATAGACAAATAGTGCCAAATTACTTCATAAAAACCTCAAAGATGTCAAATGGAAAATTGGAAAGAGGCAGACCCATACTGGACGCAGTGGCCAGATCTCAACGGACAGCCTTGTGGAAGTGAATACTATAAATCCTGACTAACAAAACAAGAAAAACAGAAAACCATGATATGTTCATCAAAATGAAAATATTAATTGGAACCACCAGACATTAGCACAAATATTAATTTCCCTTCTCTTTTGATATGTACAAAAATATATTTTCCCTTTTTATTTGTTTAAATTATTATTTTCCCCAGCCTCAGTCCCAGCCAAAGTCATGTCCAGTCATCTGGTAGAACTTCATGTTGAAGGGCCTGTAGAATTCTCGCAGCCTCTGGACCACTTCCTGGTCTATGTTGGGGTGGGTCCGCCCCTTGGTTTTGCCCAAGCAGTGGGGCTTGCTGCTGCCTTCAGCCTTTTTCAGGCATGGGAAACCCTTGGTTTTGTTGAAGTAGAAGTGTTTGTCCGTGATGATCCTCTTGAGGCCCAGAAAGTCCTGGACTCGGCCTAACTCACCAGCTGGATCACTGATTAGCCTCTCCCCACTGACAAAGAGGATCTGCCCAATGGGGAAGTACAGGAGCCAGTTTTCCAGGTGCTTGGCGTAAATGCCAATCTGGATGGCACTCCAGGAGGTATCAATGAGGCCCGTAGTCCTGTTTTTGAAGGTCAGGCTCTCAAAGGTGGGGATGTCAGGCTTCTTGGACAGAGTTTGCGTGTAGTCAGAAATGGCTCTGGTGACCGGGTCTCTCACCACCACAATGAGCTTGGTGCCCTTCGACATGGCAGAGATGCGAGCAGGGGCTTCCTTGGTGACAAAGTAGCTGGGAGTTTTTTCCATGGTGATCTGCCCATCGAGAGTTCTTGGCATCAAATCCCTAAAGCAGAAAAGAGGAGACATCAAAATTACTTTTGGAGAATTGGGCTTCAACAGCAAAAGCTTGGTTAAGGTCTCTTGCAATGAAGGCCAGCTGGCACAAACAAAATACATGCACGTAGATTGCACTTACTCATAGCACTCATAACACATTTTTCATTTGTTTGAATGCTTTACTATCTACACCAAGGCTCAATTGCCATGGAACCATACCATCCATTTTCATAAGATAAATCTGACACAATAAGTAAATCTCCAGTTATGTGCACAGTGTAGCTATTACATGTGCATTGCGCCACAAACATATCAGTAAGTAGTCTATCCTATCCAAACAGTGTAATTTAACTATGATGTCATTCCCACAGATGCAAATAGGAATTGTTTCCTTTATTACAAATTGCTATGGAAGTGGTAGCTATTTTTCTTACTCATAAAATTATTACTTAGGAATTATTCAATTAAAATTGCCAGGCAGCAGATTCAGTTTAGAAAAAAAGATGTACAATTTCGGACACTGCATAATCATTAAGCTGGCTGACGCTGATGGGAGTTGGAGTCCAACAATGTCTGAAGGGTCACAGGTTCCCCATTCCTGCCCTGGGAACTAGCTTAGATGACTTCTAAAAATATTAGACAAATTAATGGAGGAGAGGTCTATAGACAAGCTATTAGTGATGATAACCAATTCCTCTGTGTTCCCAAGTTGTAAAGCTCTGAATCCCAGATGCCTGGTGTGAACAAATAGGGGTTGTTGTTGTTGTATTCATACCCTGCACATCTGACTGGGATGGTTATTGCCTTTGGACATCCTAGAGGCATTTAGCTAGTCACTGTTACACCTCCAGCTTCGTTAAGAGCGGTGGATGTGTAATCTGGTGAACTGGGTTCGATTCTCCGCTCCTCCACATGCAGCTGCTGGGTGACCTTGGGCTAGTCACACTTCTCTGAAGTCTCTCAGCCTCACTCATCTCACAGAGTGTTTGTTGTGGGGGAGGAAGGGAAAGGAGAATGTTAGCCGCTTTGAGACTCCTTAGGGTAGTGATAAAGCAGGATATCAAATCCAAACTCTCCTTCTTCTCTTCTACTTGGATCTAGTTTGTGTAATGGCATATTTATACATTCCACTCATCCTTCCATGTTGTGTTGTACTCTCTTGGGGAGGGGGAGGGGGGAAGGAAGTTTCTTTTCTGTATATTGCATCTGAAAAAACATTAGGAGGTTTTTTGTTTTTGTTTTTAGTCACCTCTCACTCAACCCCAAAGCAGTCCTGTTCATCCTACCATTTCATTCTCATGTGTGGTTAGTTAGAGTCAAGTGACCTTCAAAGCTGAATGGGCATCTGAATATGGGTTTCTCAGTCCAAACTCAACACTATGAGTATCCAATGCTACATGAGTGATCTTCCACTTATGGAATGGGGCTTCCAATTCCTCTCCCTTCCTTGAGCTCACCCCTCCCAGAATATCCCCCAGCCTTTTGGAACAGAATTTGAGGGTGCACAGAGGTTTGCAGGGGAGAGAAGGAGGAAGTTTCATTGTGGAAGTAGAACAGCAACACTGGATGCAACCCTATATATTTCACCAAACTGATTATAACATGTGGGTTTTTTTGAGGGGATGGGGGTGGGAGAATGTTTTGAGTTTTCAAGCATTCAAAATGACGTCATCAAGGGAAGGCAAAACAACTGGTGCTTTAAGCTGAACGTGAGTGGGAAGATGGGAATCCTAGCAACAAAAGCAATTCAACAAGGAATCATCTGCCTGAAGAAAACTAGGGTTGCTTGAGGAATTTGTTCTTTGTGATTTCTGATAGGAACTGATCTGCTCTGCATCTCCCAGACTAATGCGGAGATCACAGGATGACACAGTTATCCTTTGGATTTTGTACTTCTGTGGGTTTTGCATTGCAGTTTTTGGCTTTTAAAATGTTCCAATGTAGTATAAAGATGAATATTTTATGATAAGTTTTTTTAAAGAGAGGGAGAGAGAAGAAATGCATATTTTGAGAGAAATTTAGAAAGGCATATTTTTTTTGGGGGGGGGGAATACTTCCAGAAATACATATTTATGTCCTCCATGTGCATTTTTAAGAAACAGCAGATTAATGTGGAAGCAGGATGGAACAGACTTACAAATAAACACATGTGAAACTGATATGAACCAAAAACTGTTGTGAGGGTTTGGGTAAGAATAATTACAACATTAATTCAAAAGTCTAAAGTTGTGATGTTCAGTTGGAGAATGTAATCAAGATGACTTGCAAAACTGAGATGACACTGGGTCAAAATAAATTAGAAAGAACATCATGGGATGTTTCTATCATGTGACTCCCATCTCTCTTTAAAAAGATAGCCCAACGTGATGCAAGAGCAACGACTGCTAGATTGTATCCTACTACTAAGTAAGTATTCAGGAAGCAAGAATAGGCAGTCTGACTCTGTGCGTGTTTCATTATAAAAGGTATGGTTGTGAAAATAATTCTTATTTTGATACATTTAGATTACATAAATGTGGCAACTCATCACACTTCTCCCTCTGAGTAATTGTCACATTTTAAAACCACATTTAGGAATGGGGGAGGAATGCATTTGGTCTGTTTTCTGCAGCACACTGACCTGGTATGACACTTCTGTATTTGCTTACAGCTCACAACAAAATTCCCAGTTGGATTATGCACTTATCTGAATTTTGCAGTGCAGTTTTGGTGTGAAACCTTATTGAAAAATAGGTGTTTTATGTACAAAAAAGTGCATACAAAATGCATTTCATTTAAATACAATTTATTCATGCATTGTTTTAAAAATGTCCAAACAAAATGGGACTGGATGAATTTATGATTGTGGTCCAGCAAAATTGAAATTAAGCTGCTCGGTCCACTCATAACCACATCAGGCCAATGTGTGCTTACATAGACAAAGCCTTCACTGGAGTCTTCCTAGGTACTGCGTCTGAATATGCCCCAGAAGCCACAGTTCTTTACTGTTTTCAAACACCTGAAAGAGCTTAATAACTGTTAGATGGCAACAGAGCACTGTAGGATCATCTAACTTTAAAGACAGACTTTTGTGAGCTTCCTCTTTTAAAAAGGATGCTTACAGAAAGGGTCAGCCAAAACCCAGTCCCATAAAAGCAAACAAAGATTTTCCCAGATGATTCACAATAGGGCCAGATATTGCCAAGTCCAACATTAATTACCCATTCTTAAGAAGGAGAGGAGCCACCGAAATGCTACCCTAACAAAGCAAACACAGAAGGTTGATTGCTCATATCTTGATTTACTGGGGAACTCAAACTTTTAGGTGGCATCTTTGTAGCACATTAGTCTTCTTCAGACCTGGGAGATGAATGCTATCTTTGTCTGCTTGTGTCAACACTTGGCAGGCTGAAGCCACGGATTGCATGTTGTTGGGAGCCACTAGGCATGTCCTGCCACAGCTTTGGAGAGATTAATGAATGACAAAGGCATCTTTCATGGACATAAACAGCAGCCTGTAGGGCCTTATGGATGGGTGGCATCTGGATTTTATTGAGAAGCAGCCACTTGAAAAAGATCAGAGCCACAGAAATATTTTGGCAAACATAATTTCCAAATGATTTTTTGCCAGAATAAATGGACTGTGTTATTTTAAATTTAGTAGGATTGGGGTGGTGGTGGTGTCTATTTAATTATTTAATGGAAAAGGGTGCCTTCTCTGAAACAGAATACTTTTTATATGCGTAGTCTAAATTCACAGTCTAGCACCAACTCAGTTCTACCCATGCAGCTGATAGGTCAGCCATGCTTCAAGTATGCTACTGAAGGCCTAAAGCTAGAGCTTCAATGGAAGCTTGGGAACAACAGAACCAAGAATTTGGGAACTAAGCACCATGTCTATTAAATATCCCTCAGTTCAGGCATTACATCTGACCACCAGCAGTCGTCATAGGAGCAATAGCATTTGACAAATGCTGACTAACCAAAACTTTGACTATTCTCAAATTATTTAGGTTGTGTGGAAAGATAAGTGACCCTGATCATTTCAGCTAAAGCATCACCTGATTTACATTGTCCTGTTTAACTGGTTTGCTGAATAAGTTTATTACATGCCTACTTTTTCATTGAGAATACTACCAATCTGGTTCCAAACATCTGATGTGCTCATTAATGTTTTGACTGGAGCAAACAGAAGTATCTCTGTGAAGGACCAACCTGCAGGATTGGGCAGTGTCCTGGCGGAGGTGCTTCTGCCACTTAGTGGGATGGTGTGGAAGTGGGACAGGGTGGTGGCAAAGTTGGTCCTGTGTGTATGCACCAGTGCAGCCAATCCCATGCTCCTGCCAGTGTGTTCACACTGGCAGGAGGACAGTGGTGCACCCTTGCTGGCCACCCCTATGAGAAGCACTCAGTCTTGGTCACCTTTATCCAAAGCATGTTATAGTTAAATAATAATAATAATAATAATAATAATAATAATAATTTATTATTTGTACCCCAACAAAATTTATTTATTATTTGTACTTCCAACAAAAATGAAAAATACATTAAAATGTCACACATTAAAAACTTCCCTGAACAGGGCTGCCTTCAGATGTCTTCTAAATGTTAGGTGGTTGTTTATCTCTTTGACATCTGATGGGAGGGCATTCCACAGGGTGGGCGCCACTACTGAGAAGGCCCTCTGCCTGGTTCCCTGTAGCTTTGCTTCTCGCAATGAGGGAACCGCCAGAAGGCCCTTGGCTTTGGACCTCAGCGTCCGAGCAGAACAATGGAGGTGGAGACGCTCCTTCAGGTATACTGGCCGAGGCCCAGTATACAGGATGCATCAGTGATTATTTTCATTCCACAGTTATGGGTTTCAGGGAAGGAGAGAAGTTGCACATTTTCCCTTTGGGACATGCATGTGTTCCTGATTTGTTCACAGTTCTGCTATGCATCTCAGAAAGACTATGCCTAAGGGTGTGCCTCTACCAGAACAAATTCTGTGTCTTTTAAGTGTCATGCTGAAAGGAGCTTAAATGCTTGCCATGCACTTCCCTTCCATTTCCTTCCCACCACTGGCAAGCTTGAGAGTTTGTGCCTGTGAACTGCTCTCTGCCGCTACTATTCAGAGACAGAATGCATGTCTGTTCTTCAGTCCCAACTTATTTGAGTGTGAAGTGGATCTGTGCCAGGTGGGGCAGTGCTTGTATGCTAGCTTCCCAGAGGGTGTGTCACTGTTGCTTACCAGGAGGGAGAGGGAAAAAGCGGTGGGGAAGTTAAATGCACCAGCCCAAGTATCGGATTGGCTCCACCAATGTGTTTGCTCCCCATCTGCTTTCCCATTATTAGTAAGCAACAGTGACTGATCTGCTGGGAAGCTGGATTAATGGCGCCACACCATCTGGAAAGCCACTTCTGGAAGCAACACCACCCCTACCATCCAGCCAGGATTGCCCTGCAGACCTCAAGAGTTCTCTACTCACCATGTATGTCCCTGGATAGATCTACTCCTGTCCTCTCCCCCAAGCAGTTTTGGCTGTCAACATGCCCATACAGTGGTACCTCAGGTTACAGACACTTCAGGTTACAGACTCTGCTAACCCAGAAATAGTACCTCGGGTTAAGAACTTTGCTTCAGGATGAGAACAGAAATCGTGTGGCGGCGGTGCGGTGGCACTGGGAGGCCCCATTAGCTAAAGTGGTACCTCAGGTTAAGAACAGTTTCAGGTTAAGAACGATATACGATATCTGATATCTTTATTGTCATTGTCCCATGCAGAACAATGAAATTGAAAGACCTCCAGAATGAATTAAGTTCTTAACCCGAGATACCACTGTATATGCAATTTGCTAACAGAGAAGCAAATGGGGCCGGATGACTGTTGCTCTGATTATCTTTCTTCTGGGGTGCGATGGGGGAGAAGAATGACCATTGAACAGGTTTTGCTGTTCACGGTGTGATAGTTCCTCTCTACACAGCCTCCTTCATTCCCCTCCAGCATTCTGTTTCTCGCTTTGCAATGCTTGGTGGCGATTGCTGAATGGGCAATTGTGTCTTGAATTATATAGGCTCAGGATGCCAAGCGAAGAAGAAAAGAGCAGCGGCGGGCAAGCTTGTAAGCAGTACGGATACAGTTTCCATGCAGATGCCCTTGGGTGCAATGAACAAAGAGTGGCACATTACGGAGCACGGGGCCTTACGGCAGAGCCATCCCTGAGTGCTCACACACTGACACAATCGTTTATCCTTATCTTTGGCATTGTTACCATTGACCTGACCATGGCCCCCAAAGGCTGCATTAAATAACTTCTGGAGAAACAATGCAAAAGAAAGAGATGCCAAAGCTGCAGGAGGGGGGAAAAATATTTGTACAAAAGCAAGCCTGGTACAAGGCCCAGCCCCATTGAGTGACTTATTCACACACCTCCCCACATGAGCCTCCAAGTCTCAGAGGCTGTGCAAAGCCTTATCGCAGGAGCAAAACATGGTCCACAGGCACGATGTAGTGTGTGCTCAGACATGCATTTCCATTGTCCTGTTGGCTGAAGGAGGCAATGTTTATGGATTTGTACAGATGGGCTTTCGCCAACACCAGTCGGCATGCTCCACTGCAAAAGCAGTTTCATGATGAAAGGCACAGGCACAGAGGGCACTTCTAGAAAACCTGTTTACTGAGCATTCATCTGGATTTCTTTGCAGGGAGATTAGACAATGTTGGCTATTTGATGAGCATTCGTCCTCATTTGTTTGCCAGGAGGTGAGATGACATTGCATCAAAACAAGTATCATCCCACACTTTCCAGGGTGTTTCCTCATCACTTTATCCATCACAAAAAGTCCAATGTTTTAAGAACTGGGTTTCTTATGCCAAACAACTATAATTGCCCAACCTGAATGTGCCAGTTCCCACAGTTCCCACCATGCGAAAATTCACTTATCTGAAAATAAAGAATTATGCACAAACATCTCTACACATTCCTCAAATTCAGATATCCGAACAGCTGGAATTTGCCCACCTCCTAATTTATTTGTATTTTGCTGGTCAATGGCAAATATTTAGGGCATAAAGTGCAAAGAGAGGGAAGGGGGAGAGATTGGACAATTAAGAGAGCAGGAGAGATTGGACAAATCTGTTTTCCCTTTGACTCTCTTTTGCTGGTCGAAAGAAACCATGGTGGGAGTGGGAAGAGAGATTGTGGATAAGATATGTTCACAAAGGAAATAATGGAAATCATCAGCTCATAATGCGAACCCTAGCCTCAGGAATGATTTCCTGGGAACGCATTGCGTTTGGTAAGCGAGACCTGCATGTATATGACTGAATCCCACCTGAAAATAGCAGCAGTCTGGAAGTGCCCATATTCAACTTAGGAATTGCTTGAAGGTGGGTTTAAAGCTTAGATGTTTCTCACTGCCATTCCCCTCCTACCCTCACCTTTATCTAATTTGCTGTTCAGGTCCATTCTGCTATATTGTTCTTTGGAACCCTACAGGGATGGGTGGTTTGGGGGAGAATTGCAATATGTTGGTCCAAAGTACAACCTCCCTGAATGACTTGTCCTTCAGAGGCCATTGGAGTTTTGACAGACATTTGCACCCAACATGTATCTCACCATTAAGAAATGTTTTCAATAATTCTAAAGACTTTTAAAGTTCAAGGACCCATCCTCTAGATCAAAGTGTTAGCAGTGTGACCCTGACAGTGCTATTTTTGTATAATTTTATTTTTTTCTTATGTGCTCTACTTTCTTATTGCTTTACCTCTGGGTTACTCGGAAACTTTAAACACTCACACTGGCCTGATTCACATGAAACACTGAGCCAAATGATAGCTTAAAGTGAATAAGCAATGTGCTGGTGCTTTGCTCCTTCCCTGGTCCTGTTGCCACTATACTATGATAGTTTGGCTTAGCCTTATATGCCAACCTAGGTTCATGGTTTGTCTCATTCCAAACAAACTACAAGGAACTACCTTTACCACAGCCATATTGCTACTGCTTTCTGATAATGGCACATTTATTTCTCAGTAGGTAGGCAGGTCTATTTTGAAGATGACCATCCACATGAAATGAATGACAAAACTACATGCCTAAGCTCAGCAGTGGCACCATGAACAGAAGAAGGCAGGTCTATGGTCTTGGCTATCCATACCTATCCCTTATCTCAGATCAAAATACATGCATTTGTCTCATGCAACAATGTTTCCATTCTGTTGCACTTCATCTTCCACCAAAAACTATGTTATTTGTCTCCCTATCATAATTACAGAATTTATCTGTGAACATTATATTTTCTTTACATTATTCTGCCCCATTCATTTTAGCATGAACGAAACGCAACACAAATAATGGGGAAACATTATCAATTACGTATCATTTGCGGACCGAAAGCAACAATTGCAAATACCGGTCATATTCACGGGATCAATTTCCATTCTGGACATGGGATGAATACATGAACACTGGCCATTTCTGCTCTTGTCTCTGTTTTCCTTGGAAATTCCCTGATGTCCCTACTTGTAGCACATTGGTCATGACGCTGGTTGTCACCGGACTAGAGCCTCATTGACCTCCCCCTCCCACACTCCTTCAACTCTACTCTTTCTTGTAGCAGTGGGGAAGTGCACAACATAAATCTCACATATCAATGAGTTCATCTCTGGAAAAAGACAGGGGCCATCCAACATGATTTAGTTGTGTGTTGCTTCTCGAGAGATGCTTTGCTGCTCAGATGACAGTGCCGGTTAAAAATGAAAGCTGCTTGTTAATGCAGAGTTATCAGGGTTTTGCATATGTGGGCAGGAGGAGATAAAACAAAACACCTCCCCACTGGCACTGTGAGTCAACAACATGCAATGCTTTGAAAGAAAGAAAGCCGGGGGGGGGGGAGAGAAGGAAATTCTGATAAAAGCATCAATCCACCATGGGATCATGGCATCTTGACACGTTTTGCTGTTACTTCACAGCGTTTGCTGCCTCCGGCATTTGTTCACTTGGTGTTTTGTTTACATTTCAAGCAACATGCAGAAGTGCCAAGGCGCTATTGCTGTACGTGGAGGTATGATTCAAGGCAAGGATGCGGGGGGGGGGGAGAGACAGGAGCTTTACAATGTTAAACTGACAGACCAGTCACTGCCTGGGAGCAACGTTAGAAACTCAGATATATTTAACTAGGCACCAAATGGCTCCTTAAATCAGGGTTAAAGCATAATGTCTACTTGCCATTTGGGGGTCAAATGGCTTGCAAGTCGTATCGTTCAATGCAACTTTTTTCATTCTGATTGTGAAGTTAAAATATCACAGATAGAATTCTGCAGAATGTTTTGCTAGTGTGTGGAAACAGGCAAGACCCAAGGACCCCCAGGCATGCACCTCCAGATGGTGGAAACATCAGACGCCATCCTGGCACCCGGGCAGCTTCACTTGGTTGCAAGTGGCCAATAGCCAGGTGCAAAATGTTCCTGGTGCCTGGAAAATTTCCAACGCCGCCTGTGAGACTATCCAAAGATTGGGTGCATGTAAGCAAGCTTGAGCACCAGGAAAATGCATTTATTTATTTATAATAATAATAATAATAATAATAATAATAATAATAATAATAGTTACAGTGCAGCTCTAACCTGCTAAGTTGCCTTATAGACATGATGATAGTTTCATCTCGCTCTGATGGAACAATACAGTGAGTCACTGTGCTGTATTCATACATCTCACTGGAAAGTGGAGTGTCAGCCTAGCTTGGATGGATCAGAACCATCCTTTGTGAGGCCATGCTACCACACACCAGAAATGAATGTTCCTACCAGCCATTATGTACTTGCAAGGAACACTTTGCCCTCAATAGAACCTGGAAGCCAACCATAGTTCCACTCAAGACACGTAAACAGCAAAAGGAAAGCACAGCACACACATGGCTATATATAAATATATATAACTCACTAGTACAGCGTATGACCCATAACTATAAGATTGCAGGTGCAGCATGACTGGTTAAAGCAGGAGTGGGAAACGTAAAACCTTCCAGATGTTGTTGGGCTACAGCTCTCATCATCCCTGACTGTTGACCATGCTGGCTGGGGCTGATGAGAGTGGGACCCCCAACAACATCTAGAAGGCCACAGGTCCTCCCTCATCCCTGGACCAAAGGATCTCAGGTGGCAGGATCAGGGAAAATCTCCCAATTACTGATCAGAATGCAAAAGGGAAAATGGACCAATAGTCTGACTCAGGAGGAAGTCTTTGGAATTAAAAAACCTCCTTAGTTTACTGACTCAGCATAAAGCCATTTCTTATAGCTACTTTGTCTTATGACAGTAGCACTGAGAGGAAAGTGCAGTACGCACTATAGAGGTTATTCAGAGCCTAGAAAAATAAGCGAATATTCTCTTTTTGAAGGGCATGGTCTTGTTTCCAGCATAAACTTGAATCTGATCCACCTCCCCACTCAAACAAACAATGGACAGAAAAAATGGTTTTGGCTGTGTAAGGTTTGGGATTAATCTGAAGGGATGTGAAAATCTTCTGTTGAATAAGTTAGGCAGCCTTTTCACCTCCGATATTAAATTACATAGTGGCTTACTGTTTGAAAACTCTATGGGGACAGTGGGCTATGCACAGCAGGAATCATTGCATTTCATAAAACAAACATCATAAGCTTGGGCAGTTTCTGGCTGGCCAAGGGCAAAAGGGGCATTTGCTATGACTCTGAATGCCATTTGCTAGGGCTCAGAAGTAGGGAGAGCCCTGTGGCACTCAAGTGCTGCTTGTAGGCTTCCCAACAGCATCTGGCTGGCTATTGTGAGAGCAGAATGTTGACCAGATAGGCCTTTGGTCTGATCCAGCAGAGCTTTTCATATGTTCTTATGCTATGATGAATCCCAAAATGCACAGTGTGTGTCTGACCCAACAAACAGTTGAGAAAGCCAGAAGTACCCCAAGCAGGACATCTGACCCATTTAGAAAGATTCGTTGTGTTTTTAGATTCTTGCTTTGATGTCCCACTGAAACTAGTCTGGTATCCTGACAGAAGTGACCACGGACATTAATGATGGAAACAATCCTTTGGGAAATTCTCCTGTGCAAGCCCACTGAAATGAATGGGAGCTGCTGAAGAACCTCTTGGGGAGCAGACACTTGAGAACGGTTACAGTAAATGAAGCAGTATTGAATCCTAATACACAACCCTACAGAAATGGGGACAAATCTGGATGAATGTTTGAGATGGTGAGCTTTTGTGGTTAAGCTTCCATCAGAAGGTCAGTTTGGTGTGTTGACTGGTTGTATGAATAAACTACAGTGGTACCTCGGGTTAAGAACTTAATTTGTTCTGGAGGTCCGTTCTTAACCTGAAACTGTTCTTAACCTGAGCTACCACTTTAGCTAATGGCGCCTTCCACTGCCGCCGTGCCGTCACTGCACGATTTCTGTTCCCATCCTAAAGCAAAGTTCTTAACCCAAGGTACTATTTCTGGGTTAGTGGAGTCTATAACCTGAAGTGTCTGTAACCTGAAGCATCTGTAACCCGAGGTACCACTGTATAGTTTTCTGGAAATGTCTGAATTGGAAAAAAGTTCCTTTGCAAATTAGGGTCATTTGCATAAGTTGTTTTTAATGGCACACTTGCCTAATAGGAATCTGCAGTGGGCATCCACTCATTGTTTCTAATGAAACAGAAAATTTTCTGTTGGGGGGGGGACACTTGAAAAATTTCCTGCTTTGGATTTTTTTTTGACCCACATCACTGGTTAACACACATCAAGCATGACTGCATCTCCCTCATTGCCTCATGGGAAATCTATAATAACTTGGTGGGGCTAAAAGAAGGGCAAGCTTGATCTTGTCAGTTGCCTGACTTTCACCACAAAGGACATGACCTAAAATGGTTTGTTCTGAGTCTGTGGCAGACTCCCTTTCAAGCTCTGTGGAGACTTCTTTGCTGGTGCACACAGACACTACGGTGTTTTTCCATTTCATGAAACAAGCTGCTGGTAATGAATGCTGCTGTTTCTTTAGGCTTGCCCGCAACTGTGTGGGATGCCTGTGGTTTTTCAGTAGGGGAGGTTGCACATGTTGTGTGACTTTGTAATGGATCCAGATCTCTCACTTGCTGGTAGCTCTTCAATAGGACTTCTTTAACAGCATTATTCTCCACCCTGGGTAAAGTGCAAACAGGATTTGAATTTACATTTCAGCTTGCAAACAAGTCCTGGTGTTTGCATACTGAATGTGGCTCCAGTAACTGACATATGCTAGTATTGTATCCAAACCCGGTTCTTCACTGAATGGAGAGAGGCACTGATTGACTACATCACGTATGTGGAAATTTTTATGGGGATAGGGAGGGTTCAAACTATTCAAAGAACCCACTCAAAGTGCATGTTGACTTAACAACCCTTGTTAGACTTCACACAGCACAGTAATCCTTACAGTAGGAAAAGCCAACCTGCACCAACAACCGAATGTTGTTGAACTTCGATACCCTGGTCAATGTGGCCAATGATCAGTGATTATGTGAGCAGTGGTCCAAGAACATCTGCAGAGCCAAAGGTTTCCACCCTTGCTTTACATCAACCCTGTACATTAGACAAATATTGTAAGCAAAATAACTAGTAGAATGATGTGTGCGTGTTTATTTATTTAATTTATATGTCATAGTGTAGGTGCGGATGTGGGGGGGGGACATGAAGACTGTAGTTTGCAAGGATCCATGAAGGGTGCAATTTTGTCTCTATGTGCATTTCCACTTACTCTGTGGGATCCCTGACAGTCAAGAATCTATAAGCCATCCAGTGACCAAGGACTCCCTGGTTTATAGCTAAGTCCTTTAGGTATGCATGGGCTCTGTGCCTTACAGTGCAATTTTATACATGCATATTACATGCTTGTACAGGATTACAGCATTAATGGGGCAGAAACTAAGAATACAAAGCTTAGGAGGAAGCTAGTTCAAGGTTTTCTTCCACCTCTGCTAATATTGGGGTGTGTGTGTGTGTGTGTGTGTGTGTGTGTGTGTGTGCATGCATGCATGTTGTGAGAGAGGAAGAAAAAAAAACTATGTAACATCAGCAGAAACTTCCATTTGAAGAGTCAGGAGTCAGGACATGGCAAATATCAACGTTTTGAAAGAAAGAATTTCAAGACAGAGGAATGTACAATTGTCTGTGTTGGAAGAAAAATTAGAGAATTTCAGCAAAGAATCAAATTCATTCCTGACACGTCAGAAAGCAATGTGTTTTCCAAAATGAGAAGGCATCTTTCTAACAAGGTTTTGAGCTTATGCTCAGCTGAGTCAAGATCAAGCCCTCACTTCCTATTAGCAATGTTTGCTGTGAGAAAATAAACCCACCAAAATAGAAATTACATGATTAACATGAATTGACTGCTCATTGGGTTTACGAAAAAGAAATAATTGTTGCTGTGGGTAACCAACCTTGATTGTATTGTGAATCACAGTCCTTTTAGTAGCCAGCTCAGTATTTAGTTCTGCACTTATGACATGACAAATCACCCCTTGCTATGTGTTAAATACACTGAGTATCTTACAGAATATATCTCTTAAATACTAGTTTGTTCAAGCAAGAAAATTAAGCCATTTGGGGACTTTACCAGTTTTTAGTTTGATGAGAGGAATCAAATATCTGAATGGTCTTCTGGAAATGAAACTCACTCTCCATAGAAAACTACCATGCTGTGGAGAATGGTTCTGCCTATTTAACATGCTGTTTTCCTCTGAGGTCTCCATTGCGTGGAGGAATGTTCATAAAAATTGCTTCCCTGCCTCCCACATACCCCTGTGAACTGACATGATGCTATACCATTTAATTCCGCTTAATGTCCAAAGAGTAAGACATTTAATTATTTAATAACATTTACAAACCACTTAAGACTTCAAAAAATTCCAGGGTGTGTGCAGTATTCTAAAAAAAGCTCAGTATTATTTTAAAATGCAGCTTAACACCAATAAAGCAGCAATATAAAATCATTGAAAACAGGAGTTAGAGGAGTCAAACACATAAAACAGGGTCTGATCTTATTGGTCATGGAAAGGCTGGGCAAATCAATTCATCTTTACATCTGAAGCCACTGGTGATTGCTGCTGCATATATGGCAGGGGAAAGGAAGAACATTCTGCAACACAGGGGCAAAAGGAGAAAATGCCCATTTTATAACCAGCGCTGATAGAAGATGCACTATGACCCATGCTTATGTCAAAATATTTTAATGTACTGTAAACGGACTTGATTTGGCATGTTGTCTGGAAGAGCGGGATGTGAATTTCAATACAAGTATGAAAAAATATGAGCTGAGGGTGACCAACAATAAAGAAAGGCTATATGACAGTAAGGGTGTGTCTGCTCAGGTTTTTATTTGAGTTTCAGGTGTGCTCATTTCAAACACCTGATCCTAACGATTTGCATGGCACACATGCAGAAGAGCCTGCACTTATTCCTTCCCTATTGTTAGCATTCCAGGGTGTAGCTGAGATGGGCAGCCTGCTTCGGGAAGATGGGTGGGAAGAGAAGTGATACGGTTTTGCAATTCTCATACTAAACTTACTTTTCAAAGCTGCTGTTGGTACGCTGACAATGCATGAATCAGGAAACTCAAGAAATGTTCATGCGCAGATATACGTGAAGGGAAGTGGTTACAACTTATGACAATCATATTAGCTAAACAGTAGCCTGAGACAATACAAAATTAGAACTACAGTCCTGTCCCCACACAGTGGTGTAGCGTGGGTTGCCAGTGCCTGGTGTCGCATGGAGGGGCACATATATACATACATGTTTAACTGCCTAATGGCATCCACGTCACCCAGGAGATGGCAGCCAAAGAGATGAGAAAAGAAGATGCCTTGTCGAAAGAGGTCATTTCCTGGTTCACATGGAGAAGCCGTTTTCAATGCAGCCCAGAGACAGAGCCGTATTGAGGCAGCACTGAGTGTTGAAATGTTGCATCCCTAACAATTTTGTGTCTGGGGCAACTGATAGGCCACTGCACCCACTTACCTGAGAGCAACACACACCGAACTCAATGATACTTGCTTCTGAGTAAACATTGTGCTGTAAGAACTTGGAAAGTACATCTGCCTTGCCATGCATTGCTTATTGGCAGGAAGCCTGACTTTTCATCAACCCCAACTGGTACCTTCACCCCACTTCACAGTATCTTTAAAAGCGCCCTTAGCACAACTAGAATGAAAATGAAGAGATGCCAGTTCCAGTCTTAGTACCCATCACCAGGAGCACAGCTATTTGAGCCACATAGTTACAGACCATTCTTTTATTAAGGAAATGATGAGGATAGAATAATGCTTTTGTCTTCCTGGGCCTTCTAGACTAAATTCTCACTTAAGCTGGAGTGAACACAAGCATTTAGCAAGGTGTTGTACAGGCAGAAACCCTGCAAACTAGCTTTATTGTGCAGTCACAGAGACACTGTTGTTTCTTGGCATCTCAGAAAGCTTGTTAAAAGGTGAGATGCCGCTCTGTGTGCTGGAAAATAAAATCTGCTGATCAAAATCCCCAAGTAAAACATATTTTTTCTGCTTCTGAAATCAAACCAATCTGACTTCTGGTGCTGAAATACACAGGTAGTGATGTCTGGGAGCGCCAGCAGACATCTTTATGGAAGATGATGCCTCCATTTATTCAAGTAGGCCTCGGTATTTATGTATCTCATTACATCTGCAGCCTGTGGCATCTGTTTCCATGCTATATCTGTCAAGCTACATCTTATCAGAGAAGCTCTCTTTCTGTTCTGCATTCCTGCCTCTCCTTTTACCTCGCTGATAAGTAACCCGATGCTTATTCTAAGCTCTTTTTTAAATAACAGAGTAGGATGCAGACAAAGCTAAGCAGACAGCCTGAAAAGGAACTCAAAAGGCACTGTGAGCTGCCACACATCTCTGATCAGCAGCGCTCGATGTGGCAGAGTCAGGCTTGCAAAATAATTACATAATGCCAGCGTTTATTGGAGATGGCTGCCTCTCTGCTGGGATGCAAAGGCTCCTAACAAGCTGAGCTGATGCACAAAATGCACTTGTGTGATAGATGGTTTGCACATCAGCTGGACCAGATTCTCCCCACCCCCCACCCCATATCATTGCCAAACTGAATTCACAAGCTTGCTGATGCTCACTGAGTAGATGTGTCCACGATTGCACTGTTATACGCAAGTGGTAATTGGTTTAATTGCAAGTATCTCCAGAAAAACCCCTTTAGGAAGGAACCAGCACTTGGGAGGTCAAATAATTCTGCTCTCCTATGAAAGCAACTTGCTAACTTTTCTTTCACGTAAGTAATTACCAAGTGTGGAAACAGAACCTTGCACTCCCATATATCAGGCTTATGATGTGAGTCCTTCTCAGACACCCTTATTTCAAGGAAGAATGACATGTTGCAAGCCAACACACATAGCAAAAAAAACCCCTGATGCCCTCTTGATTTGCAGCTTTGGGAGAAGGTGCTTTGGAAAGCCAAGTCACAGGGAAAGAGGAAACTTATCCCTTCCCCTCTAGCTCTCCCTGGCTGCTTAACCCTCCCTATATGGCTCTCACATGGTTCTAAACACTAATGCAAATATCTACCTAGAACTCTGAGTGTGGGGAAGGAGCTGGGAGAGGAGCTCCAGCAGAACAGTGGCAAGCAGAGAAAGGGTTAGACATCTACTTGTGCTGCTTCTGAACCACTCTCTTTCAAAGCTGCTTTTCCTCAGGACAGATGTGCGTAACCTCCAGCCCTCCACATGTTGCTGAACTACAATTCACACCATCCTTGGCCATTGGTCAATCTTGCTGGAACTGGTGAGAGTTGTAGCTCAGCAACAGCTGAAGAGCCAAAGGTTCCCTATATCTGCCCTAAGAGAAGTGTCTGCCAGAGTTGTTTTCACATGTATTTATGTGTAATATGTAGTTCTGCCTTCACTCAGTGAAAGAAAATGACTGAATGTGAATTAATTTGGTGCAACTTTTCCAACAACCAAGCTGAACTTTCACTCAGTCAGCTTGTTCCCGTAACTTGAAAGTGTATTGTAAAGGATAGTTGAGAATAAGGGTTCAAGTCTGGTTTATCATAGATAATGGCAAATGACCTTTGACGACTTTTGCTTCTAAGTTTATTTATTACATTTGTATACTGCTCTTCATCTGTAGATCTTAGGGTGGTTCACAACATAAAAGTTCCTTTAAAAAAAACAACATTGCTCCACCTCTCAGCTAGTAGGCTAAGGATCCTGTAGTACTAGAAAATCCACACATATCCCACTGACTTCTCATGGCTTCTGGTTAACATATTAGTTCTCTTAAGAGGTTCTGCTCTTAAGAGTTGCTGAGCATACAAAAATTTGACTGCAATCCTATGCACACTTACTTGGACTAAGCCACATTGAACACAACAATACTTACTTGGAAGTAAGTGTGCAAGGGTCCATTGATTCCTATCTTTGAAACACTCTATTTTGAGAGCTAGTATGTTCACTTGTATACTAAGTACAATGGTATTTCCCCTTTAGGCAATGAGGATATTAGGAAATCCAACACTTTTTAAAATTAAGATGGAGAAATTCAAAGTCCAAGATTTTTTCATTTGCTTTGATAAGTGCCCATTTGTTCTTGAGGTGTTTGAGTTTACCTGTGTTACTGTGACCCCTAACCAACTGCTATCAATCCAATAGGTGCCCTCTCTAATGAATAAATGCAGAAGGAGCAGGATTTTCACAGCACATAAAGAATTGTAAGGTGCAAACAAAGTCCAGTGCCTCTCCAATAGGGTCCATGAGCTTAGCCAACCTCATGTCCTCCAGATGTTGAGGACACCAGCTTCCATCATCCTGGTCCATTCCCATGCTTCCTGGGGCTGATGGGAGCTGATGCCCAACAACATTTAGAGGGCACCATGTTGGCTACCACTGGGTTTAGGCTTTCATTTTGGAGTGGAAGTCAAACTGTCCAGTGCACCAACTGGGGACACTGAGATTCTTGGGGTGCTGATATTTTTTTAGCTGATGTAGGAATATGAAACCGGCAAGATCCAGGGCTGTCACAATGTCTTTCATGTAAAGGATCCACACTGTGGGATGAATTGCAACCTTCACATCAGACAGGTAGCTCCCCATGAGGTCAATCCACCTATCATAAACTCTGTATTCCTAATGAAACACCCACTACAAGCATTGCTCTTTCTGCCTACTCTCAGTGGCATGTACTCAGCATGAACGAAAATTAGTTCACACCAAAGTATGGGTCTCCTCTAAGGATCATTTCCCTCTTTCTCAGAATGACACTTTCCTTCCCCAAAACCCTCAACTCTGTGACAGCAGAGGAGCTACTAGTCCAGGCATGGGGTGTCCCTATCATGTTTCTGACAGTCTCATCTACAGACCTTCCTGCCTCCCCCAGCACATCCAGGTCAGCTACCTTAGCCTCAAGGGAGCTAACTTGTTTCCTGAGAGCCAGGAGCTCATTGCACTGAGCACACCTCCATGACTTATGCCCGACAGGCAGATAGCTGAACAACTGCAATCCACCAGGGAGAGCTGCCCCACCAGTGTATTTCCTGTAATTCAATCACAGGAAAACTTTATTTAGAATGGAAAAGGCTATAAGGGAGTCATCACCCAAGGGCAGAACTGGAAGCCCAATTGCTTTGGTCTGTTAATAGCATATTGTTTAGCTTCTTGCAATAGCCAGCATCCTCTGGTCTAATAAGGTTTCAAAATTAGCTTCCAATCATGCCTTGAATTATCAGGAAAATGAATCTTACCCCAACCACCCTGACACCAATGATTATACATCTTGCTGTTACAATGTTATGCTCAGGCAAGCTGCAGTGACTCCCTTTATGGCTCTTTTAACCCCTTAACCCTAGCCACACAGTTTTTTTTCATTGCAGCAGTACTGGGGCCAGTTTTTCATTAGGTGCATATTCCTGCACTCTCAGTTCTGCCCTAAATTAGACTGCAGGTACATTGGACACATTTCCCCCCATGAAAAGCATTTCCTCCTTCCTGCTGTCAGCTGTGCCCAAACTGCCACTGTCAGCTCCATGGTCCTACAACGAACCCTGATGAGTGCACAATGGAGCATCACTGACTAAGGTTTGCATGGAGTACAACAACTAATGTGCGTGAAAGAGAATTTGCATATATGTATGAAATCATCAGTTGATAACAAGAGCAACTTTGGGCCCTTCAATTCCACGGTTGCAACTTTCTGTCCTTCAGAGTTGCTTTCTAAAGTATTGTCCACAATGGGTCTACTGCGGCACATTTCCAAACTACAGCCCCCAAACCTGGGTCTTGCAGTAGCTTCTCTACTGCTGAGGCTGCCAGTCATTGCACTGTTTTAAAGTCACCTTGTCAAAAGGGTCAGTAACATCAGGTGCCCATTCTTTAGTCCACAGAACTGTAGGTCTTAGACATTAGAGATTGATATTATATGTGATATTATATCTTATCACACATCAAATCTAGGAGAGCTTCATCTCATCTTAAAAGTATAGGATTTAGTGACACATAAGCAGAAGTAGTCAACATGTCCACAGTTTGCTCCAGAAGCTGAAGGAAGAAGTCAAAGGAAATTATATATGCCACATCTTTCTGGCAGGCTGTCAAAGCTGCTACATCTGAAGAAATAGGTTACATCATTAGGGATACTTCCTACATGACTTTGGTTCTGGGGTACGGAAAACATTGTGGCTACATATAACGCTGTGAACAGTATATGCATGCTTAAATCGCCACCTTTCTTATAAAATAAGGCAGAATCTGACACCAGAGAACTTCTGTGGGGAAATGATGCTCAGTTTGTAACCAAACATTAAGAGTGAAGCAAACATGCCAGTGTGGCGTAGTAGTTAAAGTGTCAGGCTATGATCTGGGAGATCAGGGTTCAAATCCCCACTCAGCCATGAAGCTTGCTGGGTGGCCCTGATCCAGCCAGTCACTCAGTCCAACCTACCTTAACAGGTTGTTGTGAGGATAAAAAGGGGAGGAGAACTATGTGTGCCATCTTGAGCTCCTTGGAGGAAAGATGGGATACTAGTGTAATTAATTAATTAATGAGTAATCTGTACCCGCCACCATAAATCCAGAACATCCCCCCCCCGTGGGGTTAACAGTAACAATGCCAACCTGCGTGTATTTCAGCACAGATGGCAAAGATCAAAAGTACACAGTCTATGCATGCTAGGGGCTACTGACTCTGGGTGAGCTTTACAGAGAAGAACAAGAGGGTTATGTTCCCTTGCTATTTCCTGCTTCTTATCAGACCTGACAGTTCTCAGCTCCTGAATTGTTGCCAATTGGCATTTTTGAGGCACTGAGCTTGAACTCCAGGGGACCAGCTGGCCTTCAGGGCAAAAGTGGGGAATCAACACTGATCACAGCTAATTGTAGAGTACAATCCCTCTCCTAATTGCTCTGATTAATTATTGATGCAAAAAGAGAGAGGCCTGGTTGTTGTTTTTTTATGTCAGGTAATACAAGAGCTCCAGGCCTAAGAAAGTTCACCATAATCTCTCTCTTCTTTGGCCTTATAATTAGGGAATTAACACTGCCTGCAGGAGAAGGAGGATGCAGGGTCCTGCTGTGTTCATGGACTCCTGCCTTTGAGCATCCCGGATGGAGGTTATTCCGAGAAGCTCATCTCCAAACCTCCTGCGGACAGTCAGTTCCTTAAGTGTTATCGACAAGAAGGAACCCTTTGATGCCATTAGCTGTGCACCTCATTGATTTTTTCCTTTGTTTTAACAAGGAAATCATTACAGTTTATACAACCTGAATGCACGGCTCGTCAGCTCCTTAGTCCGCCCCCCCCCCTTTCTGCATTTCTGCACTTGCCACCACGCATTTAGCCTGGCAGAAACTCACATTCCTCTGGCTTGCTGGAAGTCTTGATTTATCCACCCCTTGGATATGACCCTTTGGTCTGACCTACAAACCTGGCACTGCTGAGTCTGGCTTCTCCCTCAGTTCCCTGCAAGAATTTCACACAGGCCTTAGACTCAAAAAGTAAAGGGAGTTGTGCCACCTCCCTTGCCTATGTGAGCCTATGCTGTGGCAGTTCCTCCCCACAGAGGTGCATGGCAACTTCATTATACAATTTTTGGCAAACGCCAAAGCCACACCTCTTCACATGGGCCTTTTACACCTGAGATGTATATTTTTAGGACGCATCCTGGGGTTTTTTTGCAATTGTGTTTTTTAATTGTAAGCTTTTAAGTTGTTGTTTTTTTAAACTGTATTTTAAATGGCTGTAACCTGCCTTGGGGACTTAAGGTGGACGGTGGGGAATATCTTCAGATTCTCCTCCTCTGTCGGACTTAGCATTATCACAACCGCAGAGTTGAAGCTGCACAAAATATGAGCACACCTCCATACATTCCTTTATCCACACAATTTAACAGGAAGTGCAGAAGAGCACACTCACCCCACCTGCTCCTTTGCCATCAATCAGGCCTCAGTTATGCATTCTGCCTACCAGGCCTGGTCTCCAAAGGACAAGGTGGCCTGCTTCGCATGAGTTTTTTCTTTTGTCGTGTGAACTTTCTTAGTGAATTTTGGTGTGCTGAACAGGCCTTCGGAATGGCATCTGGTGTGTTCAAGCTATGATTCACTGTGGTCAGAGATCACAGACAAAGTGAAATAGGATGAGGGCAGTCTGGACATGGGTCCAGGAGAGCACTCACCTGAGCCCAGTTCAAATACCATGTAAGCATCCTCTGAAAAATTCAACTTTGGTTGACTTCAACACTTAAGCCACAGTCGCCTGACTCAAGGGCAGGATGAGAATACTTTGCTAGTGTTTAACAGCATTGCCAATTCTAGACAATGAAGCAAGCCAGCCACTCTGGGTTTGCCTAGCATCATGGCCGCAACTCCCAAATTAGAAGAGATTTCCCACTCCCTGATGGACCTGTTTAGATTAATCCAAGTTGTGCTCATTTCCCTTTAACTCTGGCACTTCTTAATTAGAACTGACACATGGCAATGTTCTTTTTCCCAAACATATCCGGAAACTGTCTATGCAGTTGCTTCTATTTTGGGGTGGGTGAGTAAGGACGGATGCAAAAACAGAGAGCTTTCTGCTGGCTCCTGTGCTTATAGATCAGCCTACATGATTCCTGGTGAACTGAGGGGTGAGGAAGAGCATATATAAACATTAAAAAGTCACCGTATGAGCATAGCTTCCCACCACTTGCTTAGTTAGCGGGTGGCTCAGCATGTGTGTGTGTGTGTGTGTGTGAGAGAGAGAGAGAGAGAGAGAGAGAGAGAGAGCAATTGATGTAACTCTCATATTTGGAATTTCAAAACATTGGGGATCTCTGGATTTAGGAAGGAGAAAATGTGGGGCAACAGAAGTTGAAGGAGAACATACCATGGACATTGAGCATTCAAAGGAGGTGCAAGAGGCCCTTGCATGCATGAGCAGTATCAATCCCATAAAAAACACCCATTTGGAAGTTTCATTCAACCTCAGTGTTATTTGGGTTCTAAACTACTTCTAAAGGGCAACAGGAGGCAGCAATAATGGAATTAAATGCTCTAAAGCATAATTGCCTCTCTTTGATTCTTGAGCAGATGGACCAAAACTAGAAAGTTATATACTTAAACCCCCCCCCCCCACAAAAAACACCTTCTTGGAGATTAAAAACGAACAAACAAAGAACATCATTGTTTATTTGCCTCTGTAATAAAAAAAAATGGTGTGTCTTAGTACAGACTAAGCAAATTACCTTTAAAAAGGAAGGTTAAAACAGTGTTTATTATTTGAAATGCCTTTCTCTCAGCTCAATTTCTGATGAATTACCTCCAGCTTCATTACTTCATAATATATCTCCCTTGACATTTAATTATACTTACCCCAAACACATTAAGCCAATCAGTCTGAACAGCCTCTTATTAATATGCAAATTTCTACTTTTGAAAAACCATGAATCTGTTTGTTGGGGGGGGGGGTGGAGAGAAATCTCCTTAGGCTTCAATTATGTCCACTGAGGAAGTTGCCTGCCTCAATCAGACACTTCCCTGTTCGCCAGCTCGATGAGTCAGCATTTGACTAACTGTTTAGGTTAACTGTTCTGGCAGCAGCATTCGCCATGCAGGGTTGATGAGGGAAGGGGAAGGAAGAAAGGACCAAATGAAATTAGACTTGGAACAGTTTGCAAAGATTAATGATAATACACAAACCTGCTATCTCTTATCGCTTTGGGTGGTAGGCTATCAATATTAAGCCAGGCTCTCTGCCTCCTCCCTCTGACTGTATTTTGTTTTGTTTTGTTTTTTTAAATTATCTGTTGCCTTGTAGCTTGCTGGGTTTTTTTCAACAGTTTCATCTAAAATCATGAATTGTGGCCCATCAGGTCAACATATTGTGGGAAGATGTTCCAGTGTGCGCATCTTATAATCTACTGTCACATTTGCTCTAAAACGTAAATATCAATTTTATTACTTCATTTTTTTAAAGTACAGCTTTTCTGCTTTTGAAAAACCATTGCTCTTGGGGGGATGGGGTGGAATCTCATTAGATTTCAATTATGCCCATCTGCTTTTTTCATCTGTTCGTCTGTTTCCTTTTTCTAAGAAGAAATTCAAAGCGGCTTATAACAGTAAAATGCATATACCGGTTACAATATGCATTTATACTTCACGAAATGCATTAAATATGCCTGAGAAAATGGCAATAAAATAAAGACAAAAAACCCCAAAATCAACAAAATCTGAAGCTCATGAATGTGCACCCCATTATTTTATTTTATTTTTTACATTTAGTTAGAATGTAAATTTGATAGACCTTCTGCAGTTGATTACACTAACAACATCCACACATAGCTAAAAATAGTATACTGGAATTCTTCATGGCTAATGTCACACATGAAAATGGTCATGCAGCAAGTCCCATGGCCTAAAGTGGGATTCAGTCTCATGCAACTGAGCCTATACACACTATGCGCTGTGCACACTTTCCCATAAGTTCGCTCTGCTTTCCTCAAGTTCTCCCCATCACGTGAACTTGCCAAGGTCTCTTAGACGTATTGTAATTCTCTCTGGAGGGAAACTGCCCTTTTGTTTATCTGCGAAGTTAATGTGATTATTTTAGCATGGCTATTTAAATATGTTTACTAGCTAAACTAATTAGCGATCATTAAATTTAATGTGCTGTATTAATTTTTCAATAGTTAAAATTAAATGAATGGAACAAGTCAAATTCAGCAAGTCTGGGGCTGCTGGCATTGTTGCGGCTTTTTCTATAAATTGATAGTGCTGCTGCATTAGGAATGCTTGCAGACTGGTCTGGTTTTGCTCCCCTGCCCTTTGCTTTTCCCAAAAAAGAATTCCGTAAAGCTAGAAGAGGACAAGCAAAGGGACTAAGGAGTTAGAGCCCTTTTGAGACTATGGCAGCTTCTTAATTTAGAGAAAACCAATAGATGATGGGGTTGGTGGTGGTGAGGGGAAAAGAGCTATAAAGTTATGCATGGCGTACAAAAATAGAAGATTTCATCCCTCTATAATAATAATAATAATAATACTCATAATACTAGAACTCAGGGTCAGTCATGAAATTAACAGGCTGTTAGGGTTGCCAGCTTTTATGGGCAAAGTTGTTGAGCTGTTGAGGAAAAACAACACTGCTGACATGTCCGGATTTTCCCAGACATTTGCTGGATTTCCTCCGGACGTATGGGAACCTTACTAGATTCAGGACAGACAAACAGCATACAGTCATGGACACCAGCTAAAGGTAAAGGGACCCTTGATGGTTAGGTCCAGTCACGGACAACTCTGGGGTTGCGGCGCTCATCTCGCTTTATTGACTGAGGGAGCCAGCGTACAGCTTCCGGGTCATGTGGCCAGCATGACTAAGCTGCATCTGGCGAACCAGAGCAGCGCATGGAAACGCCGTTTACCTTCCCGCCAGAGCGGTACCTATTTATCTACTTGCACTTTGATGTGCTTTCGAACTGCTAGGTTGGCAGGAGCAGAGATGGAGCAATGGGAGCTCACCCCGTCGCGGGGATTTGAACCATCGACCTTCTGATCGGCAAGCCCTAGGCTCTGTGGTTTAGACCACAGCGCCACCCGCGTCCTCAATGGGCACCAGCTAGGGTAGCTTTAAAAGGAGAATAGACAAATACTTGGAGGATCAATCTATGAATAACTAGAGGATAGGAAAATTGTGTTCCTGGTGATGACTTGCTGCCTTCCTGCTTGTGGGCTTCCTGGTGGCATCTTCTTGGCCACTATGGGACTACATGGACCTTTGGTCTCATCCAGCAGGAATCTATTCACTCTGGGAGTAGGGAAATGTTCTTTAGCGAGAGAGGCCACATTCCACAGAAGTAAAGGATGGGCGATGCAACACATGTGTCTCTTTGTACATAGGAAACATTCCAGCCAAAGGTTTCCATACGCACCTCTTTTCATCCAGGCAAGCAAGGGGGATTATCACAGCTTGATGCCTTGTTCCAGCCAGACAAAAACGCTGAAGGAAGGCATGGAGGACCTGTGCAGGGTAAGGATTAGGGAGGGGGATGATAGAGTTAGAAATATAGAATTGTAGAGTTGGAAGGGACCTTGAGGATCATCTCGTCCAACCTCCTGCAATGCAGGAATAAGCAACTGTCCCATACAGAGATCGAACCTGCAACCTTGGCATTATCAGAACCACACTCTAACCAACTGAGCTACCCAGGTGTTGACAGAGGGATCTCCATTGGAGGTGAGTGTACTCATTCCACTCTCCCCATTGGAAACATGTTTTGGTGTTGGTTCAAAAAAAAACCTTGGTAAATCTGCTTTACCAGAAGTCCCAGCGGACCAAAGCGTGTGTATACATGTGTCTTCTTCTGAAAACATGTGTGCAGGCTGTGGGAAGCAAAGCATCTTTCAGCACCCCTTAGCACATTCCTTTTCACGGCAGATGTTAACAAGAAAATCTCCCCCCAACTGGATCAGATGTAGATCATCCCCAAGTTGGAGGAGTGACCATCCAGTCTTCTTCTAACGCCATCCCTGTGGCAAGGGTAGCACGTCGTTCACCCACAAGTGCATTCATATATTTCACACACATGTATATATATATTTTCCTTCAAATCAGTCGGCAATACAATGCTATTTGGGCTCTTGGGAGCTTTTCATGCTTTGTATTTGCTCCCCCTCAGCCAACTGGCGGTATGCTGGCTGTCCTAGTCCGCCTTATTTTTCACAAAGGCATATAAATCACCACAGAAACTCTTATTATCTTATTTTCCCTCTGCTTCCCTCTTGTCTGTTTTGAGAAAAATTAATGCATTTGTCTCTGGAAGGAAGGAGGGGGGAAATGGAACCGTCTCTATAATTCAGTTTTAAAAACAAGCACCACTGGCTGGTGGAAGGGCCCCCTCTTAGGCAACTCATTTTTCATACTAGTAATTGAAGCCTTCCCTTCGATTTTTCCTCTGGGTGCTAAAGACAACTGGGGCCTTCCTGGAACTTGAAGATATCTTATGCAGAGGAAAATTCAAGGCTGATCTCAAGCAGCAGCAGGCTTCAAGAGAACTTTTCAGTCTCTCACAGAAGGATCTAAGCATGGGTTTTGAATAGTGATTTGGGGGAGAATACTATACAACGCTGTTCAAAGAGTACTGTGTTTTGGAGGGAGGGTCCCAGGCACTCAAAAAAAAAGGGGTCCTTCTTTCTTTGGGCATCTTAAGTTTCCTTTGGACTCTCGTTTTCCATATTTTGAATAACTGATTTCAAGGAAAAAAATCAGCAGCAAAAGCATCCATTGGTGGATACAAAGTAAATCCTTATCTACACACACACAAACAAACAAACTGTACTTTGTAATATTGCTTCAGTGGTTGAATGCTGATTGTGTTAGTACTTTCAATAAATTAAAAGCAGAGTGTTGCAGTACACTTTGCTCTTATATTCTGCAGTAAAGTGGTACCTCGGGTTACATACGCTTCAGGTTACATATGCTTCAGGTTACAGACTCCGCTAACCCAGAAATACTGCCTCGGGTTAAGAACTTTGCTTCAGGATGAGAACAGAAATCGTTCTCCAGTGGCACAGCAGCAGCAGGAGGCCCCATTAGCTAAAGTGGTGCTTCAGGTTAAGAACAGTTTCAGGTTAAGAACGGACCTCCAGAACGAATTAAGTACTTAACCCGAGGTACCACTGTACACAGAAACTTGTCTGGGTAGGTTTAAGCTTGCTATGTCTTCCCATAGCATGGGATGGAAATGACAGTCCCATCCCACATAGTCCCATTCCACACAGTACATTGCTTATCCTCTCTATAACTCTCTCAAGGCAAGCTACTCAGACCCCACAAAACAAATGTACCATTTTCAGCTAAGGAAACACACATATACACACCATGGTTTTCTGACAGATCTTTGTCATCTCTATCCTTGGTCTCATCAAAAGACAGTTTTACAGCATATGAGGGATCCCCTCAGAGAATAAACATTTCTTAAATTATTCTGAGGTATGACTTCTTTATAGATTGCTGTATATTTCCTACCCCTGCAAGGCCAAACAAAAATCTTTATCTGTACTAGAGCTGCTGACCTTGGGCTGCAATCTGAAATATATGGAGCACAACACTCACTCCAGAATCCATTCTTCAATAGCTCTCTCCTTCTCTATTTGTTAAATATAATTTTTATGGGAAGCAAAGGGCTCCCTTGAGTCAAAGAAGGCAAAGGCATCCAAAAAAATAAAAGAGGGAGTCAGAAGACACTCCAGCGGTAGCTCACAAATATGATTCAAGGCAAGGAAAAAGTGGAGGAGAAAAGGAGTAGTTTTTGCTTAGGTCTCATCAGTTCCCAACTCATTTAATGGATTACAACCACATATTAAAAGGTCAAAGGTTCAGAGTTTCTTTGCCACACCAAATAATCTTTTCTCTGAATGTTCCATTTTCACATGAATAAATGCTTCTCTGTCTAACTTTGTGCTGGGGGTAAGGATGGGCAGGCACAAATCTTTTTCCCAGAATGTTTTAGATACTGAGAGTGAATCCTGTGGGCTAAGATTAACATAAGGTACTGAGATATTCTTTTTTAAAGGGGGAGGGGCACTAAGCATGTCAATGGCTAATGAGAAACAGTAAATAATGGAGACAGATCTTGTCCGAGGTCACCATTTGGCATTCTGGCAACTTTCATATATGACAAAAATCAGTGCTGAATTTATTACCACCTGTGTGATTAGTCTTATATATTGCTCAGTCACCCCAAGGTAAAAGGTTAAAGATCATGACATTCCCCCTTTCCTCAATAACAGGATACCACCCCCGGCATTCTGGGTTATCACTGGAAAGGAAGCCAAGTGTAGGCTGGGATGGAATCCCATCCTTCCATTACCCGCAGGGAAATTCAGAAAAATTGGGAACCCTATGTTTATGGATGGCATGACAAAGGTCTAAATGCAGTTCTCTCTTCATTTATGGATAAACAGCCTCCTGAAAGAGCTGAAGGTTTCAAGAAAAGTAGGTGGCTGAGGATAAGCAAACTATCACTGCTCATGCAGAATTCTCTCAGAAAATAAAATGGGGAGGATGCAGGGAAGTGCATGCCCCTAAAAGCAAGGAAGGGGAATCTGTGGCCATTGTTGGAATCATCATCCTTGGCCGTGTTGGCCACTGTGGCCACTGAGATTTGTAGCCCAACAACATCTGGATGTCACAGGTTCCCCATTGCTGGCCCAAAGGAAATGCTTTTTGGAGGTTACTATTGAGATTTCCCTGTTTGCTTCACATGTCAACAAGCTGCAAACAGGCCCCTATTTCAACCAAGCCACCAGCAGAGCACAATAAAACCTGGTCTAGTATTGTTTAGGAACATTAAGCACATGTGATGCACTATTGGCCCTAATTTGATTAATGAAGTGATCGTGTCAACAGGGTATTCTATGCTCAGCACTTCACTACTGACCCAAACCAAGAAAATCCCATCTGGGAATTCTCCTTCCCTGCCCCTCCTGTCCCATCCTTGTCAGGTAATTGTTTACGGAAAGATGAATGTACACAATAATCCATGGCGAAGAGAGCTGATGTATGTGGTGTTAATGAATGAACGAAATAATCAGCTGGATAATAACCAGTATGTGTGTGTTTGTCAAGCAGGATCCAGCAGGACATTAGCATTCTTCAGCTCCTCTGCCTTTATCTCCTGGGCCCCATGTCTGACAACCACCCTGTGTTAGCCCATGAATAAAATACGGACTGATACTCAGACATAATTAAACTGCCAATGTGGATGTACCTAAATGAACTTGATATCTTAATGACATGAGATAGCAGGCAAGTAATGAAGGCCGTAAGAAAGGGATGTGCATAACAAACACAGACACCAAGCTGTCATGGGAGGAGTTGCCCTTAAGGGAACGCTTCTCACAATAGATGTTCTCCCAGCACCTTCTTGTTATCTGAGCAGGGCTCATCGGACAAGCCTTGTCTGTTCCTTCACCATTTACAGACTGGGAATCTATCCTCGTCTTAAGATTGTTGAGTTTCAAAAGGGTGCAATCTAAGGGGGATTAACTCTTGCATTCTGACTGATACTATCACCTATTCCTTTTGGGCATAGGGGCCTGGACTTCACACACAACCGTTTTCCTCATTCAATAAATGCACAGTTGTTAGTCAGTTTCCCAGCTCTCGTTCTGTAACATTTTGACACGGTAGATTGGTGGTTTTCAACCAGTGTGCCATGGCACCCTGGGGTGCCTTGAATGATAGGATTGCTGTGGGCAGCACCAGCTTCTGTTTCTTTCCTTCCTTCCTTCACTCCCTCCCTCCCTCCTCTGCTGCCCTCTTGCATCTCTGCCTCCCAAAGTCTTGCACAGCTGTCTGTTGCAGCAGCCCTGGCTACAAGCCCCACATGTGAGTGGTGCCTCTGGGGCTGGTCAGGGGGTACTGGTTACCAGGAGCTGAGGTGGCCTTGGAGTAAGCAAGCAAGCAAGCGGGCAAGGGAGCCTAGCCATCCAGTATCCCAGCCCTTGCTGTTGGGAATGGACAGGCAAGTTACAGGCCCCTGCGGGGCGATGAGAGGAGGCACCTCTCTTTGGGTCAAGGCGGTGGGGGGGGGGGAGAAGCTCAGAGATCAGAGATCAGGGGCATCAGCAGCGGCTGCCTGGAGGACTCCCAAGGAGAGGGGAGAGGAGGCTAAGGGAACACTCCACAAGAGAGGGTTTTCAAAAGAAGGATGAGGAGCTGCCAGCTCTGTAGGCAAAGAGTGACATAACTGGGCTCCTGAGCCCCACAGGGGTACCACAGAAAGAATGTAGTTGGTCAAGGGAGCCATGGACTAAAAAATGTTGAAAACCTCTGCCGTAGATGTTTCTAGACTGTTCCGTTTTGAATGAGATCCAATCACATCCCAGCAAATTCAGGAGGCACAATTAAAGTTTACTTGATGCTCTTTTGCCTTACCTTCCATAAACATTTTATTTTTTTTTTGCAGTAAGGAAAGTGACACGGAAATGCACTCAAAATGCAACTTCATCTAACCTCCCTAACATCTAACCTGCCTAATAGCTGGCCAACATCAATTCTTGCCTCAACAAGTAGAGATGGATGGAAGGGCAAATTAGACAACCATTGCAATTCACAGTGTGCGTCATAACAGCTGTGGCCTACTCTGAGAGGAGAACTGTTGGAACTAAATGGCTGATCACTATCGTAATGAAATGAGAAAACCAAGTGGGCTGGTCTGAATTTTAAATAAACAAAACAAAACAAAACAATAAAATAAAATAAAATAAGTCTTCTTGTCACTATGCACATTAAACCACTCCTGGCTCTTCTTGATGCTTATTAAATCATTACAAGCACCTTGCGATCAGCCCCTGTAAGGCAACCTCACTTTTCCTATCACTGCATGACTTCAGATACTATCAGGCCCAGTGTTCATTTTCTCCCCCACAGGACCAATGAAACAACAGAGCTCATTTTTCTGACTACCCTCTGCTTTTGCTCAATCAGCGAGCAGTCACTGGAATTAAGAGGCTTACTTACCATCTTGGGGTCTATTTAACTAAGCCACACTAACTTATTTAGGGCAGTGGATCTACAAATAGAGTAGGATTTACTCACCCCAGCAGGTATGCACTATTTCAATAGAACAATCTAATGATCCAGTGTGTGGTGGCTGTGAAAAAGCCAACTTCCATGTTAGGGATCATTAGGAAAGGAATTGAAATTGAAGGCTGCCGATTTCATAATTCTGTTATACAAACCTATGGTATGACCATGTTTGGAACACTGTGTACAGTTCTGGTCACCTCATATAAAAAAGGATATTGTAGAGTTGGAAAAGGTTAAGAAAAGGACAACTGAAATGATCAAGGAGATGTAATGACTCTCCTATGAAGAAAAGTTGCAGTGTTTGGAACATTTTAGTTTAGTGGATATATGCATCTTCCTATGCTAGCCTCTCCCCTGTAGCTCCAAAAATCCATGGTGAAACAGGGTCCTTTCTGGGGTATAACATTTCTCCCATCCCATTTTTCCCTGGAGAGCCATGCTCTTTTTACCAGTTCCATCCACTATGGTTCCTATTGTACCTATCCAGCCCCCAATAGGAAAGTCTACCCTTACAAGAGAACCACTACAACAATCATCCTGAATGTTGGCAAGCTTCATTCCCTCAGGAAGGCTGTTCGTGCCTGTGACAATTCTGCAAGAAAACAAGGGGTATAGACTTGTCCTTTGTTTTCTAAAAAAAACCCAAAATGTAAAGGTGCCCAGCATTAAAACTTCTGAATATAGCTACAGATGGGAAGGCTCAATTCAGTAGTTGCTATGCCTGCAAATTTCATCCATTTGTGTGAAAAGGGAGTGTCTTTAGATTTCTCCATTATAGTGAATGGGGGGAAACTGAAGTTCTTTTTTAACCAATCTAATTATGTCTTGAATAATGAATTGAATTTAGAGTGGCTGCAAAACAGATTGTGGTTTTCCCAAAGATACAACTATAAGAGTCAAATCTTGTCTTGGAGACCCAGCCATATGTTCCCATGAATGTGCCAACATGTGGCTTGAATGTGACAGGACAGGTGGGTTACTTGTAGACCAATATTGTTGCTGTAAAGTTATGCAGTCACCCATTTTTGCTATGCTATGTATGTGACTACCCCCACTCCTCAAATGGCAGTCATCAGCCCAAAGGCTGGAAAAGTTGTCCACCCCTGCTGTACTTTTCTATTATTGTCCATGTGCACCACTGATCCATGCCTCTGCTTCAGAGAGACTAATGGAAGTATTTGCATGCTGTACTGCTCAGGAGGTAATTGGCAGTTACTGCTCTAATGGTTCCAGTTTTAGTTGCAAATGAGCAACATACAGTAAGTATTGGTCTTATTAAAGCAATAATAATGAGAAATTAAAGCTTGCACCGCGGGGGTGAAGAATTTACTCAGTTTGGAAAGATAGAGTCATAGCAAGGCTGACATTTGACAGCAAAGTGTCCCTGGCTCCTGCTGATATCTCTGTAATATATTTAAATGAAAAAGTTCAGAGTGTATGTAACTAACCAGCTCAATACAGATCAGCTTTCTGTGCAATGAGTGAATTGCCTGGGTAACCCAGAAATAGCAATGAAACCAGCAAGGGGAATCCACATGGGTGCACAAGCTTTCTCCCATCAAAATGAAGAAGAGACATATTTAATGCAAAATTTTAAAAGCTAGCCTTATCTACTTTTGCCTACAGGTTTTCCTGGGGGCAGGGGGCATCATCCTCAGTACCTTGAGGGAATATCAACCAGGAAAGTAGCTCACTGACATTAACAGTCCATGATGCATAGAGAAATGGGGTCTGGGGATGGGTTATAAAAACAGAACGAATGCCTGGGCCAGAATAGGGAAATTGGCACACTAATCTAAATAACACATACAAAGGAATCAAGATGGATATTGCTGACTCAGGTAATTATCTACAAGGTATAAGAGAGAACACAGAACAGTAACACTAAAGGCTTATCCACACATACCTTTCCTCTGCTCTTTCCAGGCATGGCCCATGATTTACAGCTCTGTGTCTGAGTGCCCTTTTCATTGCTCAAGAGCTTTCCCCGTGAAAATCTGCTCTTTAAAGCTCAATTGGAGCAAATGTCAATCTGCGGAAAACCCAAACTTATGTTTGCTCAAATTCAGCTTTAAAGAGCCGGTTTTCGTGGTGAAAGTTTGAGGCAAAGAAAATCACACTTCTAAACAGTGTTGAAGTGCAGGCCTGTGCGTAGAAAGAGCGGGGTGGTGGCGGCGGCAGAATGGTAATCAGGTGTGAATCAGCCCCAAGTGTTGGCTGCCTGAAATTGAAGCCAGGTAAATCTCCTTTCCACAGGTATGAAAAAAGTTGACAGAGGTTGCTTGTGAGGCACTGGAAATATCCGCAACTGTGTTCCAGTTCAGCCAAGCAGAAATGCTATTGTGAGGCATCATCTTGATTAAGAGCCAGTGTGATGTAATGGTTAGAGTGTTGAACCTGGGAGACCAGAGTTCAAATCCCTACTCAGCCATGAAGCGCATTTGGTGACCTTGGGCCAGGCACTCACTCTCGGCCTAACCTACCTCACAGGGTAGTTGTGAGGGTGGAGGGTGGAGAAGGAGAACCATGTACACCGCCTTGAGCTCTTTGGAAGAAAAGGTGTATATACATGCAATAAATGAAATAAAAGATAACCATCCGTAGGCTTTAGTTAAAGATGCTTCAGTAAAGGGCACCAATAGCTAAGCATTCTGCTTGCACAATGGCCTTGATGGCTGGTTGCTACTACCTAGCTGTCACCAAATTTGCTTGGATAGATGCATACAGTTTGGCAATGCAAAGCAGCCAGCAAAGGAAACAGAAATTTGAGTCTTTGCAGCTGGCTATAGGAATTCAAGGGTATGTGTTTTTCTTTGAGGAGAACTGATGCTCCTTTGAATATGAGACTCATCTCCCTGGATAGTTTTTCTGGTTCCTCATGTGCGGCCTATTTGTAAATAAACAGATGTTGCAAAAAAAGGTCTTGTCTCTAGTATACTCTCACCACAAGGAAAACTTTGAAGGCTGCCTCCTGATGTTGGAAAAGCAGCATATTTGGTGGTCATGCTCGAAGGTAATCCAATACCAGGCAAGGATCCTTAGATAAAGTCTGTTAAAAGGCATACAATCCCCTTGAATCCACTTATGGTTTTGTTGGGTCACTTATAAATAGGGAATATTTCAAGCTCATGATATGAATTAATAGGTCTTTTGTTAACAGCAGCCAAATTTCAACTGGCTACAGGACAGACAGGCCACCCAGCTACTACCTATGAAGCGTCAGTTTGGCAAAGCATGGGAATTACTTCTAATGGACAAATTATATATGCAAATAGTTCCCATTTCTGATATATGTTGTCTTTAACAGTGTGTTAAAGGCCTACTAGATTCAATCCTATGTCCATTTCTATTGGGATGTTGACAAAGGAGTCAACTCTTAGGGGTCGTGGAGGTTTTGGCCCCCACAATAAAATATTTGAGGGGCCTCCTCAAAGTTAATGAGCATTCCCATTTAAATGGTGTGCATGCACTGTGTCATGTGATTATGTGGGACGGGGCTTACCTGGGCCCCCACAATATTTTATTCAAGTTGGCACCCCTGGTGTTGACACTGAAAGACTTAAAAAATATATAAATCAAAATGTCAAAGAAAGTGACTCATACTTTTAGTATGTTGTGTGCTATACTTTCAATGAATCTGAGCTCTAGTGAACTGAGAAAGAACATGTGAATGGAAACTGGTGGTTGCATTTGAAGTGTGTGGAATGTTGTTTAATGTAAAGTACATTTGCCTTTAAATGCAAATTGAAATGATTTTCTCCCCCACCCCTAGCCAGGGGGCATGTAGGCACTGTGAAAGTTTTTCCTGGATTTTGGAGCTGGTGAGATAGGTTTCATTGTGTGATCCCTGAGTTGGAAGAGTGGAATAAAACATGAATACATGGAATTGTTGTTAGCTCAAATTGATGTGACATTAGGTCTCTGCTCCTCACTTCTGGGTCCTCATTTCCCCCTTTATATCCGCCAAGTTACAATACCAAAATGACAGTGTGGAAACCACAATCGACAGAAGTCTGTTTCTTAAAAAAGGTATGAGGCCTTTCCACACTTACCATTTACAGTGGTTCATTGGCTGTTTGACACGTCGTTTCCAAGAGTGAATTTGGAGCTGATTGTCTGCACCTTTGGTCACCTGTTGCTGTTTTTAGAGTGTAAATGTGGGGTTTTCCGATCTGCACCAATGTCAGGTTGTGCCTAAATTGAGTTCTCTGGCTATAGCCACTCCAGATACACTCCTCATGTACCTCCAGCTAGTAAGTATTGGGGTTATGAGCATATTCACAGGGATAGCCTTTTCACTGCTTTTTGGTACATGTATTTAACACCTAGCATACTGCAAAATGAGAAGTGGAGCTATGTGTCTGTCTGAGCCATGGCAAACCTGGCTATTGTGATGAAAGCTTGTCTGCAGCTAATGACTGCTGTCATGGGCAGTACTTTGCATCAGCACCGTAGTCTGTATCTGCCATTATCTCTCCTCTGCACTGAGCTCACAAATGGACAGCTCACAGCAGGCAGAGGGAAGTGGGTGCAAAACAGATGCCTCCCAAATCACACCCACCAACCCCAAGATGATGCTTGGACTCTTGCCACACAAGTGGAAATATTGAGGACCCATTCCAGATCTTTCACAAAAGTCAAGGGGGCTGTGGTGGAAGAAACAAACAGTGTTTTGAGTATGTTACTCCAGAATATTATCTGAATAAAAACAACAACATCATGTGGAAACATGCAAAAATAAATCTGAAAAAACCCCCAGCAAGTATACAGCTATTGGTAAGTGTAAGTGCTGAAATGCCCACTGACTTCATGTATTAATGTCTGGTTGGCTCTCTGGACCACAGTTCCCAACCCTCCAAGCCTTCCTGCCAAAAAATACACAGCTGCTGCCATCCTGGATTCTGAGTGAGGTTCTGCTTTCTCCTTGACTCTTCTTTTTCTTTAACTCCTGTATGTAGCATTGGTCGTTTGCTCAACTCCACCTCATCATCCTGTCTCTCCAACAGATTCCCTAGCACTCACACCTCCCTCGATTCATACTGCACTTCTTGCCCATAAGCACTATAAAATATTTTATTGTTTATTTGATTGATTGAATTTATTTACCACCCTATACCCCAAGGTCTCAGGGCAGTCCACAGAATAAAATCAAAATATAAAACCTCAAAATACATAACCAAAATAAAAACAACCCAATAACCCCCCCAAAAAACCCGCACATTTAAAAAGGGCATAGCATGTCACCCTAGGCCCTCTCTAACCTATTATCATCTCAGTCCCTTTCCCTCAAACCTCCTTCCCCAGCCCCTCCTTCCAGATCCTGCATTTCAGTCCCTTTCTTTTTCTACCTACCCTCCCTCCTACCCAAACATTTCCATCTCACATGCACTCTTTTTAGTTGTCTACATTCTTTGGCATGCCATCAAGTCAGCAAACTGTGGTAAAATGCTTGGCATTTTTAAGTTTCCTAAATACCCCCCCACACACATTTTCTCAGTACAGTTGTACCTCGGGTTAAGAACTTAAGTCGTTCTGGAGGTCCGTTCTTAACCTGAAACTGTTCTTAACCTGAAGCACCACTTTAGCTAATGGGGCCTCCTGCTGCCGTTGCACCGCCGGAGCACAATTTCTGTTCTCATGCTGAAGCAAAGTTCTTAACCTGAGGTACTATTTCTGGGTTAGCGGAGTCTGTAACCTGAAGCGCCTGTAACCCGAGGTACCACTGTAATCCTTACAACAACCTGGTAAGGCAGGCCACTGTTTTTCTCTAAGGTTGAGGCTGAGAGAGAGGCTGAAGGCAAGGCTAAGGGGTGTGTGTGTGTGTTACCTACAACTACGAATGAAATTCATGTCTGAGCTGGGATTGAGTGGGCAAGCTTTTGTCATGATGGGAGGGATTAAGTAGGCATGAGGTTCACTTAATGCGCTCTGGCTAATATAAAATCATTTTTCTTCTAACTCACAGCTGTGTCAAGACCAAGAAGCCTGCAACTGTGTCTGAGCAAATATGCTCAAAGAACGTACTGAAGCAGCATATGGAGGCTGCAATTCCCTCCCACCATTTCTTTAGATTCTTTTCTAAAATTATCTGCACATCCAAGATTAGAACCATGTTTACTTTCAACACTAATTGACATTCTACACTGATTTGTGTAGAATTCATAGTTAATGTAATTCAAAGACAAGGTGGCTTCAATATCTGATTTTTCATTGGTCTATAGCACTGAAGAGGATTCCAGATAGGGTCTTAATTTGCAACCAGGTCACCAAAATATTTTAAATCAGACATTGGCAATAGGATGGCATGTGGTTTTTATTTTTTTTACTAATCAGATTTTCTCTGGAAAGGGTATATCTGGAAATAAGGATATATCTGGGGGTAAGGAAATACAGGCTAGTATTTTTATGCCAACAACATCATGCAGAAACATGGATGCATAAGGAGCACTAATTGCACATGCACCATCTCTAGAAGCACCTTGACCAATTTTTCTGGCTTAGAGTCTTTCTGTTATCTAAATTTTGTAGATTTAAATAATGTCCACGAATCCCCACTGGGCAAGAATGGCACTTCTATTTGATTGAATAAAAAAAGAACAAATACCCGTCTCTTTATCTTCTCATCATTTCAGTTATAGGGGAGAAATATAAGTCTGATTTTGATGAATGTACTGTATGTGTTAGCGTAGGGATCAGCTTTCCTTTTTTATACTTCTTAGGAGATTTTTTTACTCTCTCCTCAAGCACCACCACACAAATATATGCTGCAGATGGTGCTATTTTGTAATTTTAACAAGGCAAATTTTTGCTCATTTACTGTGCGAGCCCAACCAATCAGTTATCACATGCCAAATTTGATAACAGCAGAGACAGAGCCAAAAAGATTTGGCCCATTAGTGGCATAAGTGAGGGCAAACAAAGCTATGACCCAGCTGTAGACACACCAGGATGCACATCAGAATGTGCTTTCCAAATCATATCACACTGAGAACAATATTTTATGGACGGGCAATATCCACATGCAAGTTTTCAATCCAGTGCTTACCCAGAACAACTTTCCACATTTTGCCGAGCTTCAGAGGTTTCACTGCAACGTTTAAACATGGCTAATACAAACCACGTTTTCTAAACCCCCTTTGACTGTATATTTCACATTTGAGTTGATGGCTAATGCTTATACATTGTTAAGGCGTTCAAGCCTAATGCTTAAGCACGGTCAAGAAAAACAAGCCATTGCTAAGGAAAATAAACCATGGTTAAGCCAATGGGTGTACAATACTCTGTAGAAGATGAAATACATTTTAGCATAGTGCAATAGAGATAGATATAGCTGTCCCATGGTCTTGTACAAACTGTTTAAAACTGAGTTTAGGAATGTACAAATACCCAAGGGAGGGAAATAGCTAGATTTCAAGTGTCAAGGTCCAGCAATTTCTTCTTTTTAGGAGCTATCCTGTGGTTCACACAGCAGTAATCACACTCAAAAGCCTGTGTGTGTGTGTGTGTGTGTGTGTGTGTGTGTACTGGAGAAACAAAGATACAATAAGAAATGGGATCAGATGTAATCAGGCTCCAGCATCAGACCTAGCACCAGCTCACAGTAAACATACTGGAGGGAAGGGAAAGGGAAAGATCCAGAAATTGTTTTGGGAACAGTGACATAACAAAGGAAAAGCATGAATCTATCTCCCTCCAATGAGCATGACCTAAACTAGGGTATAAAATGTCACGGCATTAGCCATGGCGGAAGCCACAGGGCATCTACCCCAGAAAGCACAGCAGGATTTAGTCCATTAAGGCCAGCTGAATGTATTCTGTTAGACACAGTGTATCCTGTCACCAAGTCCAGTGGCCCAGGAGGACTCAGGAGGAGGGAAAGAGAGAAACTTGACCCGACTCCAGATATTACAGCCCCTCCATGCCTCCTGTCATCTCTCTTACATCCTGGGATTAAATGGCCCTATAAAAATGGCCAGTGTGAAAGGCAGATTCAAAAGATGGAGAAACACAATCCTGATCAGAGACCTTTAAGGTACTCAGAGCTCTCTGTCTTTTGACTTCTACTTCCTCCACCACCCCCTTCCCCACAACTCCCTGATGGCTAAGATCTTGAATTTATGGGCTGGGAGTTTAAATATTTTGCACTGATGGAAAAACACTAGGAAAAAAATATCAATGAGCAAAAAAAAATGGCCTATGCTTAGCTCACAGCTTCTACGAATTCGCCTTAGGTTCATAGTTACTTTAGCCTCTTCATTTTGAAAGAAACTTTTTTTTTTCATTTTTATTAAAATTAAGAGGAAGATCAGCAAACTTTAGAGTTGTTCAGCTGGTTGGGGGCTGATTTATTTTATTCATCTCCCCCTTAAATTTCTATTCCTCCCTTCTTCCCAAGTACAGTGGTACCTCGGGTTAAGAACTTAATTCGTTCTGGAGGTCTGTACTTAACCTGAAACTGTTCTTAACCTGAGGTACCACTTTAGCTAATGGGGCCTCCCACTGCCGCCACACAATTTCTGTTCTCATCCTGAAGCAAAGTTCTTAACCCGAGGTAGTATTTCTGAGTCTGTAACCTGAAGCATCTGTAACCTGAAGCATCTGTAACCCGAGGTACCACTGTAGTTCAAAATATCGGAAGGGCATCCTGGTGGGGAAGACCAGGGCTTTTTTTTTTTAGCCTGAACTCACCAGGTGGGTGCCACTGCTATTATAAGAGAGCAAGGGAGGCGTTCATGGTGAGTTCTGGCACCTTTCCCCCCCCAGAAATATAGCCCTGGGGAAGGCTGATCTATTCCAACAGTTGAGGCCAATTTGCACAGCCAAACTGATGCAATGGGTACACAGCTCGAATTGAAACAAAAGAACCACTGAATCATTCTTGCAACTCTAGTCATGCATTTCAACACTGCTGAAAGTGGGTTAAGAACACCAGAGCTGTGACTGTGAGTCAGCCATCACACGGGAATGCTATTGTGTACCAGCTCATCCACTTCATCACTACGCCATGTGAACTGGCCCGTAGGTTTTATCGATAGTCCATGATTGCCAGGGGTGCCAACTTGAATAAAATATTGTGGGGGCCCAGGTAAGCCCTGCCCCACATAATCGATCACATGATGTGGTGCACACACACCATTTGAATGGGAATGCCCATCAATTTTGTGGGGGCCGAAGTCCCCACAGCCCCTAGAAATTGGCTCCTATGATGATTAGGGTGGAGAAATGAATAGATGCCAGATCCAGCTGAAAGTTCAGAAAATGTATTCAGAGAGATGCTAAGCATAAGCATAATTACCAGCAGTTCAGAGAGAGACATTTAGTGCCCTAGGCTCTTATTTTGTTGTTGTTCTTCAACCCTGCCTTCCACTCCACAACCTTCTCTTCTCTTCTCTTCTCTTCTCTTCTCTTCTCTTCTCTTCTCTTCTCTTCTCTCCTTTGCCTGGAATGCAGACCTGGGTGCTGATAAAGTTTGACACCTCATGTCCAGGGAGTCAGAGAGTTATTGGAGCTGAGGGGACAACAGGCAGGAAGTGTAGAGGAATAGGCCAGTGCAGGAGTGGGGAATCTTTTTCAACCTGAGGACCACATTCCCTGGGAGCCACCTACTAGAAGTGGGCGGGGCAGATGCAAAAGTAAGTGGAGCGACGTGTGTGACCCTTGCTTTGCATAGGAGGCTGGACAAAGACACATAAGGCAAAAGCACTCCAGGTGAGGGTTGTGGCTTGGGGAGAGTCCCAAGGGGGGGGGCTGGAGGGCCAGTGTTCCCCTAGTGGCATCTCACAACCAAGTCACACATCACTGGCTCTTCAGGAACACCCAGTTCCCAACACCAGGAGCATCCGGGTTAGAATATCCTTGGGCTTCTTCCTCCAGCCAGTGACAAAGGAAAGAAGGCATCAGTACACAGCTGACATCTATTGCTGGGAGTCCTGTGGCGGCAGACCCCCCTCCCACCTGCAGTTCTTGGCAAAATACTTCACGGCTCTACTAGTAATTAGGCTGCAGGGGAAAAATGACAAAATTACACCAATCTCATAATGTATTCTTATCACAGGAGGCAATATTAGGTATATTTATTGGGCGGTAGTAAACAGCTAAGTGGGGAAGCTGGACAAAGAACTGACAGGCTCAAGAGAGCAAGAATTTCTGTCGTCTCTCTTGCAAACAGCTCACAACAAGGACATAATTTAATTACCAGGGGCTTCTTTTTCCTGTATAATGAGACAATGTTTTGTTTTTTGAATTTCAAAGACTGTTTATATTTGTTTATTATTGCTATTATCATCATCATCATTATTATTCCTGTTCCAAATTACATTACAGGTTCTTACGTCTTTAGCAAGAGACTGGCCACAAATTTTCAAAGCATTCTAAGCAGCCCTGAGGACTAAAAACTTGTGCTCTTTAGAAGTACAGAGATTCTAAGAAAGCCATCTCATAAAATATTAGGAAAAAATTAGACAACATTTCATGAAATAATGGTAGCCGTGGCTACCTAGAGCTTTTTCTAAGGCTGTGACCCTTCTCCTCTCCCCACCTGTATTCAAAATCAGAGAAATTAAACGTACCACAATATATAAGAAACAAAAACACACTGTATAATCAGAAAATGAGTATTCGTGGAAAAACTTTGAGGGCAAATGGGAAAGCTGATGTCTTTCCTCTGCTTCAAGAGTGTTGGCAGGTTAAATCTGTTAAAATTAGGCCAAAAAGGCTTTCACTTTCAACACCAGCAGGAAGCCATCTGCTAGTGATCTTGCTGCCATACACAGACATTCCAGAGCTGGTGATTTTTTAAAAAAAATTAGTCACACTTCCATTTCCCAATTTCTCCTTGAGCTGGATGCGGCAACCTGTGTGTGTGTGTGTGTGTGTGTGTGTGTGTGTGTGTGTGTGTTTAAATATACATAACCGTCTCGGACTAAAGGAGCTTCAATGTCAGCATTGCACAGATGGGTGAGTCAAGACCAGGAATATCCATACATCAGAGTAAGGAACTGGAAGTTCAGTTGTCAGCCTGCCAAACGACTCCTAATCCTCTGCAATTAGGACACCACGAACGGATGACTGCAGAAAGCACACGGAAAGAGAGAAGCTCCGTGCATCACCTCGACCAAAGGACATAGCGCATATACACAGCTTTGTCCCGGGTCCTGCAGTGCAACAGTTAAGCCTGCCCTTTTAAGCCACTCTGCGAGCCTGAAATGAAAATGTTCAGGGCCCTTTAACAGCGCAAGCATATTAACTTGGTGTGGGAGGAGGGGGTGTGCAGAGTGCATGCTCAGGGATGAGTGAGCCCATCCAGTTCATTCAACAAAACTCGCTCGGAGTCGCTCTGGCAAATGGCAAGGCTGTGTCTGACTAGGGGCATTCAAGCCTATCAGACTCAATTAAACGCTTGCACCATGTATTTAGGTCAGAGTGTGAGATGTTTTCCCAGCTTTGGCCCCCTGAGAAGCTCCCCAGCCAGCTGCTGAAGTTTTCCAGCTATTCTTTCTGCTCAGAATACATGAGCATGTGTGACACCGGGGGTTGCCTCGGCCCCCGGACCTGTCAGGCTCCCCAACGCCTGACTGTTCTACTAACATACTCTGAATGTTGAACACAAACCTCCATATCCCTGTCTCACTTGTTTGGCTGCATATTGGGTTGTTGGTATGGTATGGAGAGAGAGGGAGAGAAAATAAACGCATTGGTAAAACCTTGCAAAAACAAAAACAAAAAAAGTGTATGCAATACATAGCCCATTAGGAACCATAAAAATCCAACTGGAAGGTAGGACCCAGAAGCCAAATGAGGCTTTCGGGCTCCTGATAATAGGCCAAGTCGTCAGCATACACATTCTATAAATCAGGAAATCCTAGAATCCCTTTTGCAGTCAGCCACCGGAGGAGCCATTTCAAAAACACACGGCTGTATTCTCAAACATTGCTCTGAGGACTCTGCAGGGAAGCTGGCATTATCGCATAGCCGGACCTAGCCAAAGCTAGTCTCAGGCATTGCTCAGATCTTCCTGCACAGATTTGGAGAGCAACCCTGAAGCTTGACTCAATGCTGCAGGAGGCATAGCCAACATGCTGCTGCTCAACTGCTGGAAGACTCCAATTCCCGTTGTTTCTATCCACCGGCCTTGCTGGCTGGGACTGATGGGAGCCGGAGACAAACAAATACTGAACGGCACCATGTTGGGACTGCACCGCTCCCTTTGTTTACTGGATCTATGGAGAATCTCAGTGAGATTCCGCTGTATTTCAATCACATGTTCCAAACGAACCACCAATGTGATCAGATGTAAGAGATGCAGAACAAGGAAACAACATATGCTCTCATGCTGGGAATAGTTCTTGCCCTGCTATGGCAGCTGATTTCTGGACCATTGCTTTATGGTGTAACTGAAGTAATTAATATCTTGCTATTTATGATTATGGGATGCGGGTGGCGCTGTGGTCTAAACCACAGAGCCTAGGGCTGGCTGATCAGAAGGTCGGCGGTTTGAATCCCTGCGACGGGGTGAGCTCCCGCTGCTCGGTCCCTGCTTCTGCCAACCTAGCAGTTCGAAAGCATGTCAAAGTGCAAGTGGATAAATAGGTACCGCTCCGGCGGGAAGGTCAATGGCATTTCCGTGCGCTGCTCTGGTTCGCCAGAAGTGGCTTATTCATGCTGGCCACATGACCTGGAAGCTGTACGCCAGCTCCCTCAGCCAATAAAGCAAGATGAGGGCCGCAACCCCAGAGTCGGTCACGACAGGACCTAATGGTAAGGGGTTCCTTTACCTTTAGCTTATTTATGATTATTATATACACCTTGATTTATTCATCACCACATACCAGAAATGGTTTGGTAGTGACTTAACAACAAACTACAGTCGTACCTCGGTTTAAGAACCGTCCTGTTTATGAATGATTCAGTTTACGAATTCCACAAAACCAGAAGTAGTGTCCTGGTTTGTGAACTTTACCTCAGTCTAAGAATGGAATCCGAATGGTGGAAGGGCACCGGTGGAAGGAGGCATCATTAGGGAAAGCACGGTTTAAGAATGGACTTCCGGAATGGATTAAGTTCCTAAACCGAGGTACCACTGTATTCAAAATCACAATTTAAAGCAACAGACAGGGCTGAAATTGAATTAGAGGCTGAAGCTAAAAAACGAAATTGAACTGCAGTGCCAACGTAAGTACATAAGAACAGACCTGCTTGATCAGGCCAAAGATCAATCTGGTTTAGCATCCTGTACTCACAGTGGCCAACCAGATGCTTATGGGAAGCCTCCAAGCAGGACCCAAGATCCTTCCCCCACTTGTGATTCTCAGCCATGGATATTCAGAGGCATCCTGCCTCCAGAAATAGAGCCAGCTTATTCTTGTCCTATACCTTTTCTGAGGATGGTGTTGAAAAGCAATGGAAGGGAAATGGGACATGAAGGGTCTCTCACAACTCAACTGCGGAGCTAATTGCACTGCAGATGCCCACAGCACACAAAACAGCACACAGGACAAAGGAAATTAATTTGCATCAAGAGTATTTAAGGGGTGAATGCTTCATCTATTTTCCCCCCATTTTGGCTCTGATATCTCTTGGCTCTTTCCAGTGCTGAGTTTGAGAATTAACTGAATTTGCCACCATCATGCATTTGTCTATACAAAGCAAACCTCGGAGTGTGAAACTGAAGAAATTTCATATCTGAATTCAATCTAAATGGATGAGGATTTCTATTCCACTAGCCATTTCCCTTGCAGTAAGGAAGAGTCCAGAGATACTGGTGTTAGGCAGGCCTCTGGCATGACTCCAACTGCTGACTTTTCAGCACATCAATAAAAATCTCACAAGCAGATACTAGAGGTAAAAACATTATTAATCTGCAGGGGGCGGATGAGAGAGGGGGAGCAGAGTATCTGCCATTTTAGCACCACAAACCAAGGAACTAATCCTTAACCATCCTGTAACCATCCAAATCTAATCCAGCATGTGCAGAGCTCCATAGTGATTCTTTTAATCTGCAGCCGTGTTGTGTCCTTAATTTGCCTCATTCCTCACTCCAGCACAGCTTGTACCTCTCACTTTCTCAGGGCTTTTGAAACACTCCTGTCCAATATTGTTTCCCACACCAACCCCCACTCCTCTGAATGGCCTGTGCAAGAGAGACCCCTTGACATCCTGACTCTGTTATTGTAAGGATTAAAGGGGGATAATGGGCAGTTACTTAAGTGCCCAGGAGAGCAAGGGAGGCATCTAGTGACAAACGTCATTGGAGGTTGTCAAGGGGCACACTGGTGTTCTTCCTGGTCCCAGATTGCTTAGTCATCATCCCCTTTCCCAAAGGTACCACTGTATGAAGTATGTGTGTGTGTGTGTGTGTGTGTGTGTTGTGGGGAGGTCATTATGCCTGCAACCTAAGTGGCTGAAGGTTCAGCTTTCTGTGTTCAGTATTGGTTAAGGGGAATGGCAGCAAAGATCAACACAGGCTCTCAGAAGGAGGGGAACCCCCTGTTTCTTTAGCTTCTCTGGGCTCATGGTGGGTACATTATGTTGTGGGTTTTATTGCCAAGTCTCAGACAACAGAAGTCAGCCAGTCTTACATTCTTTCAGAAAAAAAGCTTGGGTTTTAGTGAACTCTGCAGAGAGAAGATTTTCCCCACTTGTGAAGAAAACTACCCTTACAGAATGCCTCTCTATATTTCCAAATTCCTCAGAAGTCATACTTGTCATGATGCAAGGCTATTACTTTATGTATTTATTTGATTTATTTATTGCATTTCTATCCCACCATTTTCTCCAAGGAGCTCAAGGTGGCACACACACACACACACAGAGAGAGAGAGAGAGAGAGAGAGGGAGGGAGGGAGGGAGGGAGAGAGAGAGTACCACCACCCCAATCCAGACTGGAGCCACAGTGGGACAAATGATTAAAGCCCCTCTTACCCCCACCCCAATTATCCTGATCCAGATTGGTGGCCCCACACTGGCAATTAATGAAAAGGGAACTTGCAGTCAAAGGCAGACTCTATGATGAACATGCAGTTTGACTTTTAGATATATGTATCAGTGCTAATGCAATCTTCATGGTTTTCCCAGGCAGCAGTACTGCTGGTTGTGGCTGCCCTGAACTTCAGCCCTACAGCACCCCTTCTGTTAGGGCTCCTGAAGAGGGTACATATGTCCCCTTACAGAAGTGTTTCTTTAACTTTGAACCTCAACTCCTCCTTCTAAACTTTTCTACTTTTCAGCCTCTGCTGAAAAGCCAGGCTCCTGTTTCCACCATCACTTTGGCAGCAACCATGATTGCTGGAAAGAAGGGATGCGGAACCATCCCATTCGTGTTGCTGACAGATCAGCAGTTTCTGGCTCTTTCTCTTCTGGCCTTTAAAATACTTTAACTTGTACTTGAATCTGCTTATTTTCTTCTCCTTCCCAATCAATTCTCCTTTAGTGCTGTGTTTTTTCAGGTTGTAAGCCTGAGGGCAAAAGCTGTCCCTTTTTTGGTTACTTGAAACCCACTCTGTGGGCCTTTTTTGGCTAAAGCGCAGGATAAAAAAATATTTGGGACAAATAAATGATCCAGTACCAGTCATCTATTCTATAGGTAAACATGAAGACATCTTTGCATGTTGTGCAAACGTAGCTTGGTGCTTCATGCAAGCAATTATGAGCCAATGCATTAATTCAACACATCTGTTGCAGAAGAGCAACAGAAGTGGAAATCTATCACACCTCCTAAATTCAGCCACAGAGGAGCAAAGCACCAGATATTCTCCAGATCAGAGCTACATGATGAAGCCCATGGCAGAAGAGTTACCTTCACAAATGCAGCCTGGATCAATGACAGACACACCATTAGGTAAGGATCCTGCTTGTTTATAGGACTGTTCAAACAAGTGTTGTTGTGCATTGATGGAGGGAGCAGATCACGCCCATAACCCGCACCTCTTTGATGCCAACACCCCCACTAACCATACATTTGGTGGCATTGTGCAAGAGGGTCTACTTGCATAGGTCTATTCCATGGGAGGGGGATCCCTGATTGGCCAGGTTTCTTACTTCTGTTGAAAAGTCCTATACTCATCCATCCATATGCGCATAGGACCCCTCTCATACCAAGACCAAATGCATGGACAGTGAGCACATTCGTTGGAAGCATGTGGCAGCTCATCTGAACATGCTCAATACTATGTAGTGATGATAGGAAAGCAAGGAACCTATCCACCCACCAAATGTTGTACCCTCCTTCCTCTATGTCCCTTGAGGGAGAGCCACGTCACTGTTTCAAAGCTATCATCTTGCAGTCACCGTGCACACTGATTCCCTTGCATACCCTTTTTTCCTCTCCAAGAACTTTGTTGATTATAGGCAAAAGTTCAGCACTGAAATTCAACCACTCCTGGGCTAGATCCCAGAACTCTCCCTCCCCTCCGCACCTTGCATAGAACAATGTTAAACAGCAGGCAAAGGTATAGTGGCGGGAGGTGGAGAATGCTAATGGAAACTGCAGGGTCAGTTTCACGGGGGAAAGTGTAATATTACCTGAGCTAGGATCCTGGGATTAATGCTTATGTTCCTTGAAGAAAACAGGCCAAAGACCTCTTCATGACCTCCACCAGCAAGGCCTTTTCTGCTAAGTCTCCAGCTACCCACCCATAGCTTCTTGCCAAGGGGCTGAGAAAGGAGCCCTCTCACTTGGATCTCTGTCTAGGTTACTTCAAAAAACTCCCCAGACAGACTCCACCTCCGCAGCACTGTCTGCTTGACAAGGAAAGAACATTCACATGTATCAGGATAGAAGGCATAAATTCCTACAATCATTTGTTATCCTTGTTTCCAGTCAAAATGGTAATTCTATGCATGTCCCACATTTCTCAGCTGGGTGGAGGAGAGTATTCAACTAAGTTTTACTCAGATGCATTGAAATTAAAGAACATGACTTAGTTAGGTCCACTAATTTCAACAGGTCTGCTCTGAGTAAAACTTAGTAGCATATCACCCCAAATCTCCCTCAGTTTACCCTTAAAAAAAACCAGTGCAAGAGAACTTGCTTAGAACTACATTGATTGCAGAAGCCCCACATATCCCTTAGAGATAATAAAGTAAGGTTATGCCTAAATATACAGGAGCCTGTGTGAAGAACTCTGCAAAGGATAGTCCACTATTTGAAATTTTGCAGTTAATTATCACCTTTTTTAACCTAGTGGGTTGGGTTGTTCTAATGGTGCTTGTGTGGGCTTTTGCTTGCAGATTGGTGATGAGAAGTTTGAGTCCTGAAGCGCACATAGCCTGGCGAAAGGATTGGTGGTGAGATTAGATGCCAAGGGAAAGGCTCAGCCCTGGCCCTACATATTTCCATGCCTGAAGCAAATCAGTCAAAACAACAACGCTCCTCAGCTCATTTTTGAAAGCAAACATGTCAGCACTGAGATGCAGGCTGGAGGCAATAAAATAGCACACACAGCATATACTCTCTAGAATCTGCTGCCTGGAGGCAGTGCAGTAACTTGCTCCAAGGTGAGGTAGCCCTTGAGAGTACTCAAATTCTTCATCCTACTTTCCTCCCATGAGCTTTTATCCCAGCCTTCAAAAGCAGGCAACTTTGGAAGAATTTTATTAGCGTGTAGGAGTGGGGCAAGAGAGAGATCTAGCTTGGTCAAACCCAGGAACTTCACCTTCAGAAGGGCTGGAGGAAATGAAAGATTTTTGATTGCCAGAGGGGGCAGCTGTAGACTTCCTCTGCTGCCCAGAGGATGAAAATGATGATGGGTGGGATGTAAATTGAAGCGATAAATAATGAACAAACTGACAGTAGTACCTGCTTTTTCTATCGGGTTAGGGTGATGAAGAAAGGGGAGAAATAGAAAACGGAATCTATGGAACATTTGGATTGTGCATTTATGCACAGAGAATGATGCCACTTTTACTGAAATATTTGAAATATTTTTAAAGTGTCCAGAGAAGTCATATAAACGGGGACTTTATGATGTGGGGAGAAAGATAAGGATAGTTTTGATTATTCTGGAAGGTTTGATGATTCCAACATTGTTACCCACTTGAGCGTTTGGGAAAGGATGGGCTATAATTCAAGAAAGAGGTCGGGAGAAATCAATAGACATATTAAATTAGAGAAGTTGAACCTCATAAATTCCAATGATTTAACTTTTCTATTTTATACAAGTACAGAGCATAGGAAAAACACAGGCTGGAACGGATCGATTCCTTTTCACTACACCTGAACACACTGTGAACAGAATTTTTTTCTTTGCACTGTTTTTCTAGGCTAAGTTTGGATACTTTCTAGGAAAGGTTAAGTCATGGTGTATTACTAACACTGCAACCCCTATACATACCGTACTTACTGTGGAGTAAGTTCCAGTGAACTCTGAGGTGACATGTTTACCACTATAATTATACCATAAGACATCAATGTATAATAAGAAGGATGGAAGTGAGAGAGTCTTTAGAGAGAAGTTAACTTTTGCTTGCATTCCAATTCTGCTGAATGGCCTTTTAAAAATTAAAATTAAAAACCACATGTGGGTGCAGTCATGGACTGGCTGGATGTAGAAGTGTGGCAGGAGCCACCAGCTAGGGAATCCCATGGGAAGAAGACTCAGAGTCAGGGGACTGGTGGTGGGACGATGATGAGCAGTCAGAGTGAGGACTCCAAGGAGGAGGAGTCAGGAGCAGATGGGGCAATAGGGTTTAGTGAGTAGGAAGAGGCTATGGCAAGATGACAAAGTCCCAAAACCCATACAAGCTCTTCCTGACAAGAAGACAAACAGCAGAATATGGATTGTTGTGGTGTCCACAGTCACTGGGACAATCAGGCACATTGTAAACACAACTTTGCAGTCACACTTAGGGAATGAAAAGAGAATGGTGGGTTTGCCTTCATTTTTAATGCATTTGCATTTGTGTGGAGAAGTCATCTCCAGACACCCTCAGGGCTGATCAGGGAGAGAGGGGCAGGAGAGCCAACTGACCTGGGCCTCGAGCTCAAAGAGAGCCCCAAATATAGACACAAGTCTCTCAGTTTAGAGCTGCAAATTCCAGCAAATAAGAGATGTGATTTGATAAAAGGCATACTGTTATGATAACCAACATAGATTTTGTCATGTTGGGGATTTATAAGCGTTCATAAACATTAATAATAATAATATATATATGTTCTCTCAGGACAGTTGATTATATAAACAAACCACTTATTGTTTTCATGAATCATCAGGCTTATTTTTTTGTTTTTTTTATTACGGCTACCGGCCTCAAAAGCTGGAAGTGGCCCAGACATCTCTGAACCTCTGAGAGGTCCTGCACACACTCCAACTCACAGAGGACAGTGGAAAAGGTGTGTGTTTGAGTGACAGATGTTTGAAGGTGTAGGCAAAGGATTTCTTGCCAGAGGTGTAATATGCATGAGCACATCACATGAAACCCAAAGGTGAAGAAACACCCAGCAACTGAACACAACAAGTTTTGTATGCCCTACCAATTTCACTGTACCTTCTTCACTCACCCCACACACCCAGATGTCACAGTCAGCTGGTCTGGGGCTCTCTTTCTTTCTTGCCATAAACTAATTAAACATGTATGAGGCTGCCATCATGGAATTATTTCCTGGTAATCACCTTGTGGCTTCAGACACAGGGTACAGTGTGATTCAAGAGACACTGCCTTCCCAAAAGCCAGCCTGTGAAAACCCCGACCCTCCGAATGACAGGTCAGAGTTCAAAAGCTCATTAAGGAGCCGACAGCTGCTTTTATAGGATTCTGTGCCTGAAGCCAGACTACAGGCACAGGGATTGCCATCTGTCTGAAGAATAACATCTTACAAACACACCCTGAAACAATAATCTATGATGCCCTTTCGAGGAGATAACTGGCACATAAAACCAAGTCTACTGGTACCAGTTCAGGGATGCATATGTGTAAACACACATCTGCATATGAGAAGGGGAGCCTGGAAGAAGGGGGGAAATGATAAAATAGTGGAATCCATGACACTATTCCGGAGGAGTGGAGTCCAAATATTTAAAATGTTTGTTAGTTGAGTTTACAGTGCAGTCCTAGGCATGTCTACTCAGAGATAAGTTCCATTAAATTCATTGGACTTAATGAAGCAAACCTATCAGTACAAGCCTATTTGGAAGTGAACCTCATTGAGTATGCCCAGGTGAGAGAGTTTAGGATTGCAGCCTAACAGAGCAATGTTAATGAAGGCCAGAGAGGTGCAAATCTTCTGCCATTTGAAGGCTTCCAAATTTTGGTTTACTACTCCATCAGTCTCAACCAACATGACCAATGGTCAGGAATGGTGGGAGTGGTAGTCCACAACATCTAGAGGTACCACATTGGCTACCCCTGGCACAGAGAGTACTGAATTGGATGGACTAATTACAGCTTCCTATGTTTCTAACAAACTTTATCTTTTCCCATTCTTTTCTCCCCTTTCAGCAGGGAGAAGAAAATATCTGAAAGTGAACTCCTAGATACATGTATTCAGTAAGTCCTATTTTCTTCGTAGAACCGCAGAGTTGGAAGACACCACCTCCTAGGAAATGAAATTGTCAGCAAGGCAATTGAGTAATTTATTGGATCTTACATTCTTGGCATTCTATTACATGTAATGCTGCTGGTGGTCCCTTCCTGTTTGGTCTATTCCTTTTGAATAGCTTACACCCCTCAATTTCTACATTCCAGTCATGAGTCGCATCCCACCAGGGTTTCAGTAATGTCTATTAGGTCATATTTGCCATGCTTTATTAAATGCTCAACCTCATCTTGCTTGTTTTCTATGCCCTGTGCATTAGTATTAAGACAAGTGAAACCACGATTCATTCTCTCTAGCTACTTCCTTCTTGTCATGGTAGAGAAGCTACTTTGCATGTACTAGGTCCCAAGTGCAATAACTGGCATCTCCAGATATGGCTAAAAAGACTACTGATGGAAATCCTAGAGAACAGCTACTAGTCAATCTATACAATACTGAGCTAGATGGATCAACAACCTAACTCTGTATTAGGCAGCTTCCTATGTTCCTAAGATTTTGGGCTGAGTGGAAGATTCTACAGCTCTCTGAATGCTGAATTTCACCTCCAGCTGGGAAATTAGCTCCCCGCCTTTGGTAAGAGAAGCAGGAGATCAAGAACAGAAGCCCAATTCCTGCTCCTGATTTCTACCAAGAAGACTGAATGTGATGGGGGAGTACAGAGATGTAACAGACAAATCCCTTCAAAGCTTAAATGTGCTTACTGTCACCTTAAATGTAACCTGCATACAGTGCATATTAATCAACCCAACCCTTCTCCAAATGATGGGTGGCATGCCAAGCACTACGGCTTCTTTCAGAGCTGTGAAGGTCCCCATTCTGGCCCTTTGGACCCTGCATTTTGCTAAGCCATCTCACGCGCAGACAGGCCACAACAGCAGCCAAGTGCTCAGTCCCCAAGGCTCAGATTCCATCGCAACTTTTTCATGTGAGGAAGAGCTTGAGGCACTGAGGACGGGAAGCCGTACAGGAAGCAGGGGCTCCACAGCTGCCTCCAGCTGCTGGAACAGGCTTCTCTCCAAGCCCTTTTCAAGGAAGTGCAAACTTTGGCCTTTGCTTTGATTCCCACCATTCGTAGCTGCCTTTTGAGGGAGGGGGAAGATGTGTGTAAGCAAAGAAACAGTATTAATTAGAAGACACAGAACTTCCCAGATCTGAAGCATCGAGGAGTGCCAGTACTTAACCCCCCACACATACACACAGAGATCCTTGAAAGAAAAGTATACTGAATCATCTTTCATCTCCTTGCAGAACGCTGCCTAAGATAGTGGCATTCTTTTCTTCTCGCAAATCCAGTGGCAGCTTTACAAAGGCAGGCAAGATTAAAACATACTAAATAGACGATCTTGGAGTGACTGAAGGGATAATGGCATTCCAGTGGGCAACTGAATCTGTGGTGGACTAAACAAAGGATCAGAAGGCAAAAATAGCACCTCTCAAAAACAACCCTTCACCCTAATGTCCTTAGTAATGATTTCTTTTCTCCCCCCACCCCCACCCCATCCTTTGTAACTTACTCCCCTACAATTTTTAACACAACCTACATAAGGTTTCCTTCACCCTCAGGCTTTATAAAGTCACATTACACTGAAGGAAGGGGGCGGGCGGGGGAAGCTTCACCTGCTATTGAACTCTGCCTGCTCAATAGACTTGTCCAACGATTCCTCAATTTTTTAAATCAATGAGGCCATTGTGACTGGCTTCCCTCCCCCTCCCCCCCAACTCACTCCTTTCCCAATTTCTCCCTTGTGAACCTAGGAACTTGCAGACGTGAAACGCAGAGAAAGCTGCTGCAGGCACTCAGCTTCCCCCAAAATATCCAGCCCACATGGATCCATCCATTGAGATGTCACAGCTTTCAAATTTAAAGCCCCGCTATTGTGTTTAAATAAGGATCTCTGCAGTGGGTGATCTGCCTTTGCAATGGGAGAGATGTGCTCTTAAGGGAAGGTATGGGTGGGAGCAGGGAAGAGACTTTGTTCCCCTTGAATCAACATGCAGCGCTGCAGACATGTTTCATTTCCGATTCTGATCCATAAGCAAGCAGAAAGAATTTAACTGGCTAACAGGGGGATTAGCTAGAGGAGCACACTCTGCTTTCCTATAGTCTTCAAAATCACTGTCTTGTTGGGGTTTTTTTAAGAAATAAAAGAGCTTAATCAGATTGACCTACTCAGCTTCTGTCCACAATATTACTAAACTTTTGATTTCTCATTAGAAAAGCAACATGAAACTCTGTTTCTATGCATCATTTTTTAAATGTATGCTTCGTTACTAAATATTTCCGTTCTAGTAGGTCCATTAATGTTTTATTTTCAACTGTAGAGGTCACTGTTGTCCTCTTGTGTAAGTAAAAAATAGAAACTAACCCAAGAGAACAACTTGAGAGACTGATGTTAAAGCCACTGTGCTCTTCTAATTGCATGTTCCAAACACCGTGTTCCACTAGGATATTTTAACATAAACATCCGTATGTTGTATTTGCTAGTTTTAATGGCTTGGAGCTTAATTAGGGATGGGATTTCTATACTGGCCAATAGTTTTATCAGGAAAATGCTCTTCCCTCCACAAAAAAAGCTTTGGGTAGCCTGCAATCCTAAACACTCATACTAGAGAGTAAGCCTCGTGAACACAGTGAAACTTACTCCTGAGTAAACACGCATAGGATTGCACTGTTTATCTTCAGCTTTGTAGGAGACATGGAATATATGCTGTAACAACGATCCTCAAATCTTACTCCCAAGTAGTCCTGATGTATCTACTTCAGAGAAAATTGGTTGCAAATTGCTTTGGTCTATAAAAATATGAACTGGAATCAAACAAGTACTTTGTTGGCTTTGATTTTTTCGTATAAGAATAGTCACCAATTATATTGAGTACTTACTGAACTTGCCCATCAACAGTTCATCCTCCATATATTTCCATGCAAGGTTAATCTAACACTATTTTCAATTCACTCTAAGGAGCGAGATGGAAAACAGTAAATGCTTTTTTTTTTAAGTTATTTAAAAAAAAAAAATGTCACCATGAACTGGTGGGTCTCCCCTCTTACTTCCTAAATCCCAAAGGCAAATACAGTCATACCTTGGGATAAATACGCTTCAGGTTGAACGCTTTTGGGTTGCGCTCCGCGGTGACCCGGAAGTAACGGAGCGCATTACTTCCGGGTTTTGCTGCTCGCACATGTGCAGATGGTCAAAATGACATCACGCACATGCGCAGAAGCAGCGAAACGCATCCCGCACACGCGCAGACGCACTGTCGCGTCTTACATTCTGTTTGGGATGTGAACAGGGCTCCAGAACGGATCCCGTTCGCATCCTGAGGTACCACTGTATGGCATCCTTTTACTGATCTCACTCTGACATCTTATTCCTAAAGACATTAGTTCCTAATGTATAAATGCATGGGGAGGAATTCAGTGTAGTGTTAAGGAGATTGTTGCATTTCAGCTTGCCGGATGGAACAATCTCTCCTCTCCTCTCATGCACTGCTCTGGGGTTCCCTGACCACTCCAAAGCCAATGTGGGGAGCACACATGGGTGAAAAGTCCCACTGCGCTAGCAGAAGACCTTCCACAGGCTTCTGCTATTAGGACTCATTAGCTGAATCCAGCTCTATGAGTGTGCCTCTGTTTTCTGTGTACCTTGTGTAATGAGGCAAATCAGGGCAATTTAGGGCAGACTCACATGTACTTGAGTTGGACTACAACTTTTCAAAAGCTGTCTCAGTGCAGATCAGCGATCTGTTAAAGTGTCAAATAGCTCTGTGGCCACAGTTTCAATTTGATGGATTGGTTTAGCTTTTAATTGCAGTGTATTGTTTTCTGAAGCCACTCCAATCACCACAATATGGTGAAAGGTGGTTGTGGTAATGAACTATAGGATAGATTAAATAAAACCATGCAGAAATCAAAGTGTCTCCAAGATCTATTGTACCTATGTGAAAATTATTATGGCCACTTAAAAAAAAATTAATTGCACTGCAATGTTTGAGGCCTGTGACACAACTCGGGGTCTCAAATTTATGCAGTGCCCTCCCCCCCACCTCTTATCTTCCATTCTACATCACAGTTGTGGCACCTCCAAGGCTCCATACCCAGTGTGACTGAACCAGTCATGCTCCCTTAAATCCACCGCTGATGAGGCAGCTCCTTTATCCAATCCTGCATTCTTTACTCAGACAAAGTTTCTGAAACTATATGCAAAGAGTTTCCTCCCAAAGCTATTTCCTTGATTGCACTGGAATTTATGTCCAAGTCTCCTTAGGATCACAACTAAATATAAAACAGTTTCCTTGAGTATCAGCCAGACTTTGTGACCACACACTGTCCCCAAAGTCAGGTGTTTATTTTCAAAGTCAAGAAAAATGTGCTTAAAAATAAATGTGAAAAACCTCAGAAGTTTTAATGTTTCCTTTCTGATTCTCTTTCAAGGCACGCAAAATTGGATAACTGCACAGTTAAGAAAATACCATTCCTCAGACAGCTTTGGGTTTCAGGAATAGAAAGTCTTTATTATCCGGGGGGAAATGCATCTGGTCGGTATACCACAGAATTCATGGGGTTAAAGGAGCATAAATTGGCATCTAAATATGTGACTCCTGTTTCAAGAACAATGCTTCAGTTACAACAGGGATGAAGAACCTGTGGCCCTCCAGAAAGTGTTGGACACCAGATCTCATCAGCCCCAGCGAGCACAACAAATGGTAAGGAGGTTCCCATTCCTGGCCTACAACCAGAATGTCTAAGCCTGTGATCCTATGGACCAGTGGTTCTCTCTGGGCCACACCTTCAGAATAAACCTTTGCTCAGACCACACCAATTTTTTTATTGATAGGAAATACACTGGAGAACAATACAAAGCAACTCCTAGCAGTGCTTGATTTATAACATAAAACACAACAACTTTATAATATGATCACGGGACACCCAGAAATGCAACTACATAAGAACATGAATCATTCCCAAAATATATGATTGTCCTTGAATCTTCCCACTACACTTGCCATCCTCTCTTGCCACATCATTGTGTTGCACCACACCCTTTGAGAACCACTGCTGTAGACACTCCCAGGTAGGTGTCTACAGGATTGCTGATTTAGACATTCTGGCTGTAGCTCAAGACTTACTCCAAGCCCTACTGAATGCAGTAGGATGTATTATTGAGCAGACATACATCAGACGGCACTGCACATAACTTGTTCTGCTTCTCCCTTTATCCTTACTCTTTCAAACCAATCAAGCAACAGGTTCAACCACAGGAATAATTGAGGTCAGATCAGAACAAGGGGTGATATTCAACACAATTTTACCCAGAGTAGACCCACTGACATCAGTGGACCTAACTTAGTCATGTTAATTCATTTCAGTGGGTGTACTCTGAATAAAACTTAGCTAAATAGGTGTTATCCGAGGAGTACAGTGCAATCATTAGCATGTGTACTCAGAGTAAGTACACATTCTGCATTCATTTCCCTAGCAAGTGAGCCTTTGACTGAAGTCTTACCCGATCCTAGACTTTACAGGGAAGACCTACTGATGATCATTTGGAAGGATGTTTCATTGCTAAGTGTGCACCAATCCCAGCCTTAAAGCCCTTTGTTCCACTCCTGCGTACTTGACGGGAAACAAAGCATTTCTGCTGTGCAACAAAGACAAATTGCTTGCTGAGCCAACAAGCTATTTTCATATTAACTTGCCAGAGGACACAACTTTATTAACTTTAAATGACAGGAGCACGTGGGAGAACCATCTAAACAATGCAAATTGCAAATAAGACAATTGCCCTTTGGCTTTCATGTTTATTTTCACATTGTGGTCTCTTTTTTTGTCCCCTTTCCCAATGAATGATGAATGCATTCTATTAAAAAATATTTGATTGGATTTGATTAAAGCTGTCTTTGCAGGCACCTCCTGTAACCGGCGTTTATTAGATTTCTCAAAATTCTACCATTGTGAAAGTGGCTTATTTAAGGAAATGAAGCGGAGTGGAGGGTGGGAGTCAGGTCTGAACTGAAGACATTCCTGCAAGGTGTTGCACAGCCCTCAGCTACAGGATGGAAGAAACTTAGGATACAATCATACACTAAACACCCACTGACTGAGAGCCCCACTACACAAGCAGAACACCAAGTATGCTGAAGGAAAGGCTGAAATGGGGCACACCCAATCACAGCACATCACCCACTGGTACAGTGGTACCTCGGGTTACATACGTTTCAGGTTACATACGCTTCAGGTTACAGACTCCGCTAACCCAGAAATAGTGCTTCAGGTTAAGAACTTTGCTTCAGGATGAGAACAGAAATTGTGCTCCGGTGGCGCGGCAGCAGTGGGAGGCCCCATTAGCTAAAGTGGTGCTTCAGGTTAAGAACAGTTTCAGGTTAAGAATGGACCTCCAGAACGAATTAAGTACTTAACCTGAGGTACGACTGTATGTAAACCTAAGAAGAGGATAAGGCAAATGCATGGGATGATACTTCTCTGGCCTCGTGTCATACCTAGACTTCCCAAGGGGTAGTTCTGAGCACCTTGCCACAAAAGGGAGACCTGCACAAGCAGCCTGACATTGCAACACACATGGGGACTTAACGCACTGCTAGCACTTCCTTTCTAAGAACCTTAACATGCACCTCAAACCTGGGACTCCAGCCACAAACTGGAGACTGCAAACACCAGACTCCATACCAACTGCAAACACTACGCTCCACACCAACAGTTGGGGATGCAAGGGCAGAGCAGGTGAGCAAAGGAAGAGAAAGCATTGGGGCCAAGTATGATTTGCCGTGACTGTCTCCCATACCTCTCTCACTCATACTTTACTATAGGTGAATACATTCAGGTTAAGTGCCCTGTTGACAAAGGCCAGGCACTCCCCTCCAGCTGCCACCACTGCTGTCCAAACAGTCATGAGACATCTACCTTAGAAGATCACAGCCCAAATGAACAGCAATGAAAAACTATGAGAATTCAGCCACTGAATCCCCCTCCCATGATGATTGGTGGTGAGGAGTGGTTGAGACCTGAACACTGTCTGAGCACTTAGGTGGCCACTACTCCCTCTTCTCTCTCACTCCTAACAAGCACAGCTGCTGGTGTTCAGGGGCTTTGGATGTGTTCCAGTTGCTGCCTAACACTTGGCAAATATTCTGTGCCTCCCCTTTCCCTCCTCAATGATAGCATCCTGGTGACCTAGCTTGTTCCAGACAGGGCCCAAGATAGGCATGCATGTGACAGGTGAGGGTGGTCCCAGCATGGAGCTGGAACCACATATTCTCCTACTCTGGTTTCTGTCAAGCTGTCCATCTAAGGCACAGAGCCCTGGTGAGGTGATTGTTTGGCAATCCCAAATGAAAGTCTTTCTCTTTCAGGATCTCCCCTATCCCAGTTGCCATGCAAAGCAGTTTAGAAATAAAATGGATAAAAGGCTGTGACTTTTCCATATGCATTTTTATTTGTTGCTAGGGATATTAAGAGTTTGAAGAAGAAGAGTTTAGATTTGATATCCCGCTTTATCCCTACCCTAAGGAGTTCACAGTGGCTAACAATCTCCTTTCCCTTCCTCCCCCACAACAAACACTCTGTGAGGTGAGTGGGGCTGAGAGACTTCAGAGAAGTGTGACTAGCCCAAGGTCACCCAGCAGCTGCATGTGGAGGAGCAGGGAAGTGAACCTGGTTCACCAGATTAACCACAGTGCTCTTAACCACTACACCAATAGGGCTGCTTTCTCTAACCCTACTATGATCTGGCTTCAGCTTATTTCAGTGGAGATAGAGAACTGTGATCTCCCTTCTCTCTACCCACTCAAGTTTCATGAAACAAGCCCATCAGGAGGCACAAGTGGGGGTAGCTGCTTTGTCAAAGTAGTCAGTTTGGGGGTGTGGGGTGCGAGAGGGGCAGTGAATCCTGCTGAATGCTACTTGGCACGGTCAAGCCATCAGGCAAAATAGCACAAGTGCATGGATTGGTAACATTCATTCATTCATTCATTCATTCATTGACAGTGCTTTTATACTACCCAATAACTAATAATCTCTGGGCAGTCAACAATTAAATGTAAATGCATTTCACACACAGGCATACATAGCTGAGACAAGATGGGCTGGTGGGGGGGAAGAGAGTGCTCTTGAGTGGTGGGATTTGGAGAGCGAGTGTTTTCTTTTTCTTTCCTTCCTTCCTACTGTACCTGCCAACTCCTGTTTATATCCTGAAGGGCCAGTTTCATTTTTAATACAGCTGTTTTGCACAACAGCAATTTCACACAAAACAGCTGTGTGTGTGTGTGTGTGTGTGTGTTTGTGTGTGTACCACAACCACGTCCTCAGCAGCAACTGGTGAAAACAACACCCAATGAGATATCTGCACGTGTAAAAAAAGAGCCCTTCCACATTGTGACCTCACAATGCACATCAGGGAACAAGCAATTTCATGCTGGAGGTTTTATCAGATTTATCCATGGGGGATAAATTGGGGGGAAAGTATGGGCTTCACAGGATGTTTTGTGGATAGTGGCAACCCTCTCCCCCCCCACAAAAAAGTCATCTGGCAAGGAGCTTCAAACCCACATCAAGCTCCTGTGTGGATGAGCCCATGATGATGCATAAACAATCACTTTTGGCTACATGACGATGACACTGAAAGAAAACAAAGGAAATTCTACTCACACCCTGAAAGGGGTCAAAACAATCACACATGGCCCCAAAGCTGAAAGGGTAAAGTCCCTTCTGCCATTTACAAAAAGTGTTTGCCAATCATACTTGCTCTGCTTGCATATGCCTGATTCACACAACCATTCCCCTTCCAAAAAAAAGGGGTGGTGGAAGAAGTGTACCCCTTTCCAGCACAAGTCCAGCAGTCTGTCTAGTATACCAGGTGCAGGAATCCTGTGGTTCTCCAGGTGTTGCTGCACTACAGCTCCCATCATCCTTTGCCATTGGCCATGCAGGATGCAGTTTATGGGTGTTGTAGTTCAGCAACTGTTTCTACAGATCACAGCAAGGCGCAAGAAGGATGGAGACTGTGTAGCTCCTCATTAGCACTGTCACAGCATTTCCCAATAGCGGCCTGTGACACATGTGTAATTCTACAGCTGCAAGCCCTGCCAACTCCAGGAAAAGCTGGGGAGAGCTCCTGCCTCATAACTGAGAGAGTCGCTGCCAGTTAGTGTAGACAGCACTGAGCTATACAGAACAATTGTCTGACTTGGAATAAAACTTCACCATTTGAATAGGCAGCTTCCTTTGTTCTCCTACACCAAAAATGTATTAACCCTTGCTGGTTTCAGTGAGAGAGGATGCAAGCCTATACCCCGAAGGTGGCTAAGCCCTGGTCTGATGCAGCCCTCCGGTCAATTTTATTTTGGCCCCTAAACCCACTGATTTTGGCAGCAGCAAAAACAAAAAAAGGAGACACTGTACAGGGGCCCTGATAGGGATGCATGTTGTCCCTTCTGTGGCCATCAGTTTAATCATTTGCAGAGCTGAAAGGGGACAATACCCCCAGCTCATCTGCACAGATCAGCTGAGGAGCGACAGGCTGTGTGTCTATGCATGCAAGAATGTGCCACAGCCACACCTACTTTTGGCCTCACACAACTGGCATACCCACCTCCCAAAGTTGGGAAAGGGTGAATATAGTTCTAATATCAAAAACACCCACTTACCAAGGAATAAACCTCAGTTAACAGTGGAACAGACACTCACAAGAGGTGGTGGACTCTCCTTCCTAGTGGGTTTTCAAGTAGAGGTTGGATGACCAGGTGTCATGAATGATCTAGTTGAGATTCCTGCAATGCAGCAGGTTGGACTAGATGCATACAAGACTGTAGTGTCAAGCACACCTAACTTTGCCTCTGGATTGGGCCCACGGTTTTTAGAAGGACCTTTTGCACAGCATCAAAAATTCTCCATCAAAGGCTCCAGTTGCACAAATCCCTCATGACTGCATAAATGTGTCAATGGCAGAAGAAATAAAACGATAAAAGTATTTACAGGAACAGAGAGGCAGTTAACTGCACTAATTTCCCACAATCCACTGGCAAGAATGTTGTTAAGAGCTTTAAAACAGACAATCAGTGAGCACACACAACTAATTTCTTAACTTCTAAAAAAAACACCCCTCTTTCTTTTTAATTTTGCTAGATACAAGTCTGTAAAAATGAGAGCCTACCCATGTTTTGCAATGCACATCCCTTTTAATGGAATTAGATGGGCTGTTATTCTTACAGTTTGTTTTAATTTAAGAACTAGTAGTAAGAGAAATCCTGAGGAAGGAACTAGAGAAAGAACCGCCTGTCCTTTTGCAGAAATCATCACCTTTCAGACTGTTTGAACAAGTGGCAAATTGGGAGCTTCACATTCCTTGCATCAGGAATTCAAACCTGAAGACCTCTGTTGGCTGAAACACACATTCAGTTCCAAATAGTCTGTTCCACTTTTTATTCTGCATTATAAATCCGAATTTGAAGCAGTCATGGCATCACGCCTGCAAATCAGAGTTTTGCCAAGGGCTGCCTTTCTTCTACCTCCTCACCCCACCCTCGAATCCCAAACGAGCCCTTGATTAATTGAGTTTTGCCAATCATGTTTGCACACCTCCTCTTTGACCCTGTAGATAAGGGTGAAGGGGGGTCCAAGACAGATACAGAGTGAGGTCACTTTCAAGGCTGAGGCTGGAAAGGTCAGATATAACGAATAGAGTTGATTGCTCAGAGGGGGGAGAAAGTGGGTTCATGGAATGTAGGACGATTAATTAAGGATTTCTTTACAGAAAGTTTGATGCATTCACAATATTTATCAGGAAGGACTGACTGGAGCTGGCTGCAACAATGTCCTGAAGACGACTTCTGAGCTTTTTAACGCTGAAACTCTGAACACACTTGACTTGGTAAAACTTTATCGGAATTAAGCGAGTTCGCTTCACTTCCAGATACATGCGCTGCAGATCAAGTTGTGAAGATAGGAAGTAGTTCCTAATATAACATGAAAAGGAGATGGGGCTGCATGTAGGAAGAGCAAATGGAGTTATAGGGAGTGGGGCACCTCTCTTAGGGATGCACATTTGTGGGACGTCTGAGGTTCAAAGCTGGCTGATGCAAAACATCTTACACAAGGAGTAGCCATACTGAGTACAATTGGTTGTGCTCAGAGTGATGGTTAAAGGTGGGCTTGTGGGACAGGTGTGAAGATGAAGTATAGGGCTGGAGACCAAGCTTTAAGCATGCAAATACCTTATTAATTAAAAGGCCAACTATCGAAAGCTGCTTTACCCATACCTTGTTGTGAAAACACTGTGGTTACCCTTGTGAAAAAGTCAGGGCTATAAGTAACTTTGACAGTTGAGGTAGAACAACTCAAGTCAGACAATGAAAGATGCAGGGCTGAGATACCTTCATAGGTTTGGTACCAGAGAAGATAAATACAGGTCAATGGAGAGACTGTGGACAGGAGTTACAGTCTCATGGTTGGTTAATGATTCATTTATTTTATTTATTCCACAAGATTTATATACCACTTGGTTGTAATAAAACTTCAAAGTGGTTTACAAAAAGATTGTGTCAAGGCCTTTGACTTTTTTTAAAACAAAAAACAAAAAACGAGAGGCTTTAGGAAGATTTGGGCATCAAAGTTTGCCTTTTGTGAAGGAGATATTGGAGCTCTGAAGTGGGTTTTAAACACAAGGCTTTAATCTTGGTGGGAGAATCTCAGGGCAAAGGCCAATAGATTTCTGTGGTTGTGGAAAGGAATGTTCACAGATTTTATGGACCTAGGACAGTAGCAAGGTCTCAGGGAGAGTTTGCAAAGCATGATGGGGGAGGGAGACTCAGGACTGGTCTGGGCAGAGCATCACACACATTTCCTTAAGAGGAACCCAAGCAAGTTTAGGAATACTCTCGCCATTGTTCAAAGGCCCAGAAGTAATTCTGCCCTCTATGACCTGGCCAGTCCTGGAATATGCAAATCAATCAGTGTTTCTGAACATATACAATTAATATTTCCCTCAGCATTAAATAACCACAGCATGTTCCCATACACTTCAAATTAAAAAGCAGTGCTTCCAAGGCAGAAATAATAGTTTTAAGACCCTTGGCATTACCACAAATAATAATCAAAACCTATACATGTTTACGCAGGAGAAAGTATTAGTGTTCATAGAGGTTAGGAATTCCCAAGGTAAGTATGCATGGCTTTCTGCTGTACACATTTGGACGCGTGGCACTGAGTGACAGGACCCCTAAGTTCATATCTCTGTACTGGATTCCCCTTAATTGCCCACACAATATTTCTCAAGAGTAGCAGTCTGGGCAGGGCTGAATCCGGATTCACACAAGAGTAAGGAAGGGGAGGAGAAGGGGCGCCCAGTCCCTCTCCTGAGCCAAGCCAACGTTCAAGAGCAGCGCATCCTCATCCATACCTGTACCAGGCGAGTCCCCGGCCATAGTTCCGATCGAAGAAGTGCGGCTCGGCGCCCGCCGCCCTCACGTCCGGGTGGACCCGCAGGAACTCAAGCAGCGCCCTCGTGCCGCCCTTCTTCACGCCGATGATCACCGCCTGCGGCAGCCGCTTGGTGCCCTCTCCCGCCGCCTGGGGCTGCAGCGAAGGATCGCGGGGCGTGGCGGCGCCCTCGTCGCCTGGCGCGAGCGGGATCGGGGCCGGCTCTCTGGTGAGGACGCGCGCAGCCCCGGCCAGGCAGTAACTGGCGTAGAGAGACATGAGGAGCGAGCCGAGGACCAGCAGCAGCTTCCGCAGGGCGCGCCGGGGCAGGGGCTCTGGGCCAGGCGCTGAGGCGGGGGGCACCCCTCCCCGGGCCATGCTAGGCGGCCCCCCGCGCCGGGGCCATCGCCCCCTACGCTCAGCCCCTTAGCCCTGCCTGGCGGGGAGCGGGCGGCCCCATCATGGACGGCTCGGATCGGGATCCGCTGACGGGTTTGGGTGGAGGGGGTGGGGAGCAAGGGCAGAAGGCGCAGCTGGTTTTCCCCCGTGCGCGAAGCTTCACGGGCACATCATCCCAGCGGCCAGGCGTTGGAGTCGGGTGGGGATTGGGGTCTGGGCACCTGGGCTTAAGCCAGGCCTTCGAGGGAGCCTCGCAGCAGCCCAGCCGCTGCGAAAGGGGCGGGTAGCATCAACTCCAGCTGGGAGGCGAGTTTGGCGCATCTCCGGTCAAAGCGCAGCCAAGGAGCAGCGCGCCTGAGCGCGGGGAAAACACTGCCAGGCGCCTCTCGGAGGGAGCGCGGCGCATCCAGGCGGAGATCGGAAGCGCGGCCAGATCCGGGAGGCAGCCGCTGGAGGAGGATGCGCTCAGGGTTTCAAGGAGAGGATCTGTCGCCGAGAGGGCTCTCCTCTCTCTGCCACAGCGTCTGTCGGCCGCCCAGGCTGAGATCCCGGGTGATCGTTGCTGCTGATGGAGGAAAGAAGGGAAGCCAGTCCCACCCCTGTCTGCTGGAGCTTTGTGCGCAGCAGAAGAAGAAACAAACCAGTCCTGAGCCGACAACTCTTCCCAAGCCACCTCGGGTCGCAGATGCTGCCGCGCGCGGTGTTGCTTTTCCGCCGCTCCTCGCTCGGATTTTGCGCGCTCCTTAGCTGTCCAGCAGCAGCGCCCACCTCGCGCGGACGGGTAGGCGAAAATCCTCCCAATCGCCTGTCACCTTTCTTTCCTGCGGGGCTCCCTTTTCCCGGCTGCTCCAGCGGCTACCACACGTGGAGCTCTTGATTGTAGCAAAAACTTCTCCGAAAGGCACCTCCGAAGCTTGAGCGACGGGTCCAGTAGCCAACGGAACGTTGGTAAAAGCAAAGTGGGCGGAGATGCCTTTCAGAGAGGACTCTGAGTGGAGGCGGAGTAAGAAGTAGTTGGGACACACCCCGCGCAGTCACGTGGGATAGGGAGGGAGTTACTTTGGGGAGATACAGTACTTCTCCAGCCACTACCTTCGAAATTCAGAGATGGAGAGGTATAGCTATTGCCAACTTCAGAAGCACTTCTGAAGCCTGATCCTGATATTTACTCGGATGTGAATTCCACTCATTTTTCTGGGTTTATGAAACCATTTCTCTGGGTTTATGAAATCCAGTGGTGTAATGGTAAATTCTCAAGTGCAGACACCTTTCATGACAGATCGGCAAAACCACACAAAACTATACGGCAAAAAATAATTTTTGACCATTGCAGATATTCTGACTTCAGTACTAAGCCTTCCCTTCCCTCACCCTGCCTCCCGCTGTGCTTTACAGAAGAGCTCTGGTGGACTCAAAAGCTTACCCCCTCTTTTGTAACATTTTGGTTGGTCAAAATAAAAGGATTTGGGAATATTTCAAAAAGAAAGTGTCAGTGTAACCCTTAGCTATGCGTACTAATGTAGCCTTAGATTAGATGGCGAGTTTTTCCCTGAGAAAAGCCTATTTGCCATGCAGAGGATTTGCAAATAGCCCATCAGGAGATGACATTATTGGTCCTGCTGTGAAATACGGTAAGTGGTAATGCACGGATGCAACTACATAACACTTAGGTAAGGGCTATGTGTGCTCTTTGCTCAGAGAAAACTCACTGAAATTAATGAACATGACAAATTTAAGTGAGTCTCTCTGAGTAAAACTTTATAACCACACGTATAAAAAGTCCATACACCCTCACATCCCTGCAAGATCTCTAAATATCCCAGTTTTGCAGATGGGGAAAACTGAACCTATTGCAGCAAGTGTTTTGTGTAGAATCATTCAGTGATTGCATGGCAAAGCAAGAAATGTAAACCTAGGACTCAGTCTGGTGCTCTGCTCACTTGGTCATACTGCCAATAGTCTCTGGCCAAGTGTAGGCAAATGGTGTTGGAGAATTGGGCTGTAATATTTTAACATTAACCATTTTAACATTCTAGCTTTTTTTTTTTTACAGCAACCAGATACAAGAACAAGGAGAGATTCTTTACTATCAACAGTTGTTTGGAAAAGGGGATTTTTCTGCGCTCTCCAATAACCATCAAGTTAAGTGGGTAGGTGGGAAATAAAATTAGCAAGAAAGAAGAAGGGTGAGTAGGAGCTCCTGAACAAATTGCCCCATGAATATCTGACAGCAGACTAACTGTTTTCTACATGGGTGCTGTAACTATGACGCTAACTGTGAATCAGAGCTGTAGAATTTTATACAACTGACTGTAATCCACTAACTGAGAGCCATTATTTGCTTTGTCCCAACTCCCAACTAGGAAGCCACACTTTCAAAAGGTCATAGAAGCACATGAACAGGAGCAAAGGAGGGCAAAGAAGATAGGCAGCAGGGTTGGAGGGGGAGGCTTAAGAGAGGCTGAAAGAACTGGAGAAGACTGAAGAGGGGACACCCATTACAGCAGACTTCACATACCCAAAGGGCTCTCACGAAGGGAGAGAGCAAACACTTGTTCTCTGATGGTCCAGAAGGCAAGACAAGGTCTCATGAGCTGAAGCTACAGGAGGGTGGATTTTGACTGAAATGTTCTGAAAAACACATTAAGGGTAAGAGCCATTTGAAAATAGAATCAATTACTTTGGAGGTGATGAGATCTCCCATCTTGGAGAACTCTAGACAGAGGCTGGACCACCATCTTTGGGGAATTTTCTAGCTCTGGATTTACTGCATCAAGCAAGGAGCTAGACCAGGTGGCCTAGAAGATTCAGAGAAACGCAATCTAGGATTCTTTTATCTTGCTTCCTGGCAGGAATCCTGTGCCTTTAAACTGTTGTGCAACAGGTACAGGAAAGTTAACTGCAAAAGCTTTTCCATCTTGGCACAGCTGTTAAAGTCACAGGAACCACACTGGAAAAGATGCAAGGTGAAAAGCAAAATGAGTGCAAAAAGTCACCTTTATAGTGATAAAAGTCCCAAGGTGATACCTCACTCACTCATAGATTTCACTTGTTCCAGCACAACACCCACGTTCCTTGGATATTCTAACACACTGTGTGGCACACACCTTCCTCCTAACCTCTGCAAGTGTTGCTCAATGCGTATCAGAGTGGAGATCATCTATTAATGTGTCCCCCAGCAACTTTTTGCATAAATTGATGTAGATCCAGCAGAATTATACATCTGAGGGCACCTATTTCCACACACAGATCACCGTGGCTATACTAGGAATATATATATATATATATATTGTTCTTTTTATATTCCTCTCATCACTTAAACTGTTCTGCTTGAGGAGTGAATAACATATAGTAATTTCCTTGCATTTCAGCTGAAAACGCCTGATAGTAAGGGCATCATTATTTCATAGCCTGCAGGGAAGTCCTTTTCACTTGAAATGGCTTCCATAGATTTTAAGAATCGAAGACAAACGGTACTCACGAAACATTTGACTCAGATCTCCTCGTGTTTATTTGCTGTTTGAATTTAGCTCTGATGCTGAACTTCAACGGCTTAGAAAAAATGTATCCAGTAATGAAATATCTTCTACTGCTGTGAACCAGCTGATTTCAGTGGGAGACCTGAACATGCACAAACCTACAATTGTACCCGCACTAATGAGGCAGTGAGGCTGCAACACAAATGCCCTTACTTGGGTGTAAGCGCTATTAAAATCGGTTCCAGATTCCAAGCTGGATCCAGAAGCAGCCCCAGACTATGAGCCTCTGTTTTCAAGGGGAATGGCAGTCCATTCAAACCAGTCTGAATTTCATCTCTACCCTAGCAGTTCTATAGAGCAGAAGAACCTCAGTCCTGTATACCTGAAGGAGTATCTCCACCCGCATCGTTCAGCCCAGACTGAGGTCCAGCTCCGAGGGCCTTCTGGTAGTTCCCTCACTGCGAGAAGCCAAGTTACAGGGAACCAGGCAGAGGGCCTTCTTGGTCTCCACCCTGTGGAATGCCCTCCCAGCAGATGTCAAGGCAATAAGCAACTATCTTACTTTTAAAAGACATCTGAAGGCAGCCCTGTTTAGGGAAGTTTTTAATGTTTAATGCTGTATTGTGTTTTTAATATTCGGTTGGGAGCCGCCCAGAGTGGCTGGGGAAACCCAGCCAGCTGGGCAGGGTATAAATAATAAAAAATCATCATCATCATCATCATCATCATCATCATCAGCTAGGGGTTTGTTCAGCACCAGTTTAGCATCTAAATATTCTCCTTGCAGATCAAAATGGCTGTGGATGTTTTGCAATATCCAGGCAAAATTGACAGTCAAGATGCTATCAGGAACTCCAGCACCCTGCTCAAAAATAAAATGTTGGAGACCTATCTGGGCATGACCCAACACAGCAGGGTTCATGGAGGTGTTTTTTTAAAAAAGAAAGAAAGAAAAAAATAGAGGTATTACCACAACCCATTGGAGTGATGTCCTCCTGTAAGGAGTTATTTATTTACCACTTTATCCAGTTTGTTCATCTCAGGCAGCTTCCATCAGCCAATAAGAGCAAGACTCAAGCACAAAGTTGGGTAGCTTCACCCCACCAAACACTATATACTCTCCCTCTCCATTTCATTGCCTCACATATACTTTGGTTGGAAGCATGTGTTCTAATAAGCAAATGGGGACGGGGAGTACATTGAGAATTTGGGATTTCCCCATGCAGAATTCACATGCCCTGTTCTTGAACCCCTGGCTGTTTGATCCACTATCAACAAGGTAGAACAATGCACGCCTACAAGATGATTTATAGTGTGAGCATGTGTTTTTTCCACAGTGGAAAAAACTGGTGGTGGGCACCTAACATGGGCTCTGATATTTAGAAAAGGCCCAGTCCCCTGTCTTCATGAAAACAGGGATGTAAAATGAGACAAAATAGAGGCATCCTGAATCATTATTTGGTTTGGGGCTGTGTACTGCGGCACATTTAAAAATTATTA